AGGCTTGTCTTGAACTCACAACAATCCTCCTGCCTCAGCCTCCCGAATGCTGGGAAAACTCATCTTACATAGGTAGATGACGTTGTTGATGAAGCAGTCTAGGTTCCAGCAGGCTAGATAATCTGAGCATCAGGAACGATGGTCAGGGACACACAGCTAGTCCAAATCCTATGTCTTTGCACTAATTTTTGCAGAAACTAAGAGGACTGTGTTACATTAGCTCACAAATAAAGGCTTTCAGCTTAAAAGGTGACAGGATCATTGCCACTGAGCTGGTGCTCAATCAGGAACAGGGCCTGAACAAGCTCTGAATCCATGGCAGCGAAGACAGGACTGGTGTGTGCTTGTCTTTGAGATAAGAGCTGTACAGGGAGGGCAGCTGGTCACTCACGGGGAGAAGCAAGCCCAGCACAAAGCTCACTCTGGACCTATTCCCAGAGACTGGTCAGCTGTGCTGTGGTGGTGAGCCACAGGGGAGACGAAGGGAGACTGTGAATGATGGGGACCAGCGGCAGGAAGACAGACCAGAGGTGGGGAAGGTGTGTTCTGAGGTCTGTGGGAATCCAGCGGTGCAGGACGGGGTATGTGGGGTGCAGGACCAGGTGGGCTTCAGCGAGCAGGAATCCGCATGGCTCTCTGCATCCAGGGGCACTGTGTCTTAAAAACATATTCTTGGTCCCTGGAGAACTGGGCTGCCAGAGCTCGGCTCTAATCTCGATGTTCCAGTCAGATGGGGTCCTTTCTTGTTACAACTTCATTATCTTTAGTCAAGCCCATGGAGGAAGCCCAGAGTCCCAGCATTTCCCCTCCCTTCCTGCATGAAGACACAGCCACTAACTGTGAGATACGGGGTGGCAGGACACCCAAGGCAGATCTCTGCCTGGCAGGGCTGTGCTGAAGTGACCAAAGCAGAGCTATAGCCCAACTCTGCATCTGTGCTGGAGCACGGGCGTGGACACCTCACGTTATCTGTATGATGCACTCCCAGGGCAGGCGATGCAATCGCTTGTTTCTCAAATGAAAATATAGGAAGACATGGAAAGGTCAAGTCAGGACGGCAGCTCAGCAAAAGAAAGAAGCCTTATCCTAAGCATTCAGGTTCCCGAGACCAAAGTGTTTTTTCTCCCGCACCTGAGGAAGGTCCAAGGAGCTGGGCAAGTGTATCAATACTTTGAGCAGGGCAGGCAAGAAATCAAATTTGAAGTTGATACGTGCACTTGAAGTTTGGTGAAATCAATGCAGGGCTGGTTTTAGGGTCAGAGAAATGGGTCTGGGTCTTGGGGCCAGCGTTCTGGGAGGTGGCAGAGGAGACAGCGGCCCCCCAGCGGCTCCCGCAGGACTTCTGTAGAAATCTGGTGCGGAGGATGACCACCAGCACCCGGCCCCTGGTCCCTGGGGCTCTAAGTTACAGTTCTAAGAAATGAAGACCGGTGTCCTCCTCTGAGATAATTTCTGGTGCCATGGTTTTTAAAGAACATAAACATGAATGCTGTCCAGAAACCTCTTCCAAAACAGCTGCAAGCTGCGCATTCCACAAGGCCCCTTGTTGTGCTCAGTGAAGGCCAAACGAGAAAATTAGTCTGCCTGCTGGGAAGGATGTAGGCAATTAGACATCACAGAAGCATGATGTCATGGGGTTATTTATTTTAGGGCTTTTAACTGTGGATGAATAATTATTAAAGAGGGATTTGATTTTGGTGAAACACAAGGAAAAGATTTTCCAAGATACTTAAGATTAGGCTTAATGTCTGAAAAGAAAATAGAATAAAAATCAGATTTCTGTTCTTTACTTCCCTAAACTTATATATAGGAAAGCCGTACCATTTCATGGTTATTGTTTAACAACCATTAGGAAGGACAGAGGGAGAGGAAATAGTTCCTTCCTCACTAACCCTGAACCAGCCACAGTGAAGCTGTTTCTGAGATGCCTCTCCAGGCAGAGATTGCTGGGCTGACATTCAGAATTACAGTGGCAATAAAAAAAAAAGTCACTTCAAGATCTCTTTGTTAACTTGTGGAAACTCTGAGGATGCAGTGGGAACACAATGGAAAAGGTGCTGGGATTTTCAACCCTGGCTTCCTTCCTCTGGAGTTCCAATTCTTTGGACAAAGAAAAACAGACTAACCGTAATAGCAGATGGAGAGGAAGTGATTTTTAATGAATCCCACAGACATAAAACCAGTCATGACCGGGCTTTGAGAATATTTGTTACCGTAATCATAAATGAAAGCAGCTCCACCAAGAGAAGGTTTCAAGTAAAAAGGTATCAGCTCGGCACCCAAAAACCCAAAGAATAGCAACTGTTTGGTCCTGGTGAGTCCTTAGGGTTCTAGGGAAAACCTGGGAATGAGGAGGGACGGAAGGTACAGGGGTCCGGCCGGCATTACACACTGCTGTTTCCTTCTAGGTAGTTTCACAACAATCTCAAGAAATTCAAGGCCGAGTGGAACAGAAACCTGTTCACATCATAAAAATTCCAACCTCACGTTTGTCACTTTTGGAAAGGGAACCACTGGAGTCTCTAAATGTAATTCCTGCTAACTGCCAAAGAGTCTTACGTTGTTGTGTTTGCAGTATGGGGACTCGAACCCAGGGACTTTGCACTGAGCCCTTCATTTTTTGTTTCGAGATGGGGTCTTTCCAAGTCACTAAGTTGCCTAGGCTGAGCTTGAAATTACAACTTTCCTGCCTCAGTCTCCCAGAGTGTTGGGATTATAAGCATGCACTACTTTGCCAGCTAAAAGATAATTTCAGGTCCTTGTGTGAACCAAGTTCCTCGCCAGTGTGCCATCTTGGTGCCACTGGAAGGCAGCAGGGGATGCAGGTGTCTCGGCATGTCCTTGAAGGTGGCTCTGGCCAGTTTCTCTTCATTTTGAAATGATGTGGCAATGTCAAAAACTTCATCTTTCTTATAATTATGTATGAGTGCAATCTGCCCCCAGACCCTGTGACAGTATTGTCAAATCTTGTAAAGACATCCTCAAATCTTTCCCAGTTTCCCTCAGAGCAGGGTCCTCTCCCTCTCCCAGACTGGAGCTCAGGGGATGAAAAGTTGTCACCGACGTGCGGCTGCAGAGCTGCACAGATGTGTCCGGCAGCCAGCCATCTGTGCTCCTGCTTTGGGGAGGAAACCTGCCTGTCACTGGCCCTCGGGGGTCACCCCCACCACAAACTTCGTCTCCGACAAACTTCGTCTCCGTCCACACCAGGGAAGACGCACATGTCTTCTCCTGAGTATTCCCTTCTCACTTGCCCAGGATCTACAGAAGTCATGGTCCAGCTAAATGAAGTACTCTCCCTTTCGGTGAAAAAACTGGCCTTTACCCAATTCCTTCTCACATTTTTCCTATAGGATAGTGAGCGGTGCAACTCCAGGGCTTCAGCCTAGGCTCCACTTCTGCTCCTTTGGTGCTGCCTGGCAACCACGCCATAGCTTTATTTATCATTTTCAGGGGGGGAAAATAAAGAGAACGTTCTCCACTTGACAATGTGGCCCTTTTATTTAAACCGAAAGGCATCGTTACATAGTGCAAATGTCTCTTTGGTAAAGTACTGAATACAATGAACATAAAGAAGGCACTTGGTTGTCGGCAATGGTTAGAAACGTAAATAAATATGTACACTTTGCTTTCTGTTACAGCAATCCCCTCACAGTGGCTGCTAAGAAGAGTTCATCCTGGCACGGTCCCTATCTTGGTAGTGAAGATACCACATCATTAAGCTGGTGACGCTCGGCATTGTGAGGTGACTCACAGAATTTGATGTAAATTGCAGCTAGCTCCCTCTCTTCCATTTAGAGAGCTACCTGCCCACCACACGCTGTACTCGTGTATTCTGCCAAAATCAAGAGACCACAAACACCCCCAGGGACACACAAGACAGCAAGCACTCCCAGAATAGACAGACTCTGCTGTCACTGTTACACCTGAGCAACTTTTACACCGTCCAATTTTGACGCTCATAGGTTGCCTACTTTACAGATCTGATTGCCAAGTTTGACTTAATATTTCAAAAGAAGTGCGTGCCCCGGGGAACACTGACCAGGTTTTATTTACCACTTAGCAATGCGTAGGTAAGAACTCAAGATGCACACCACGATGAAACTGCTGTGGGGCTGCTCACACTCAGGGCTGGAATGCGGCCCATGTCTGTGGCACACTCAGTGGCTTACACACTTAGCTTCTGGTGTCTCTTTCTGTGGGAAGCGAGCTCACCAGGGCATGTACATCACACCCAAATCACACCAGACCCTCAAGTGCCCGTATGTGCCAGCTGCTGTCTCCAAACGGGTTACGTTGTCTCACTATGACACCTGTGTCTTCAGGTTGTCTTCTCGGCAGATGGTCCCTGCACTGGCATCCAGGATATTCATAGTGCCTGGCACAGAGGGGTCATGGGCAAGTAATGAGCACTGATTAAAACTCGCATGTTTGGGGAACTGTCCCTCAGAACACAGATCGATGTGTTTCCAGGACCAAATGGAAGGTTTTGGTTGATTAAAAAGAGACCATGAGGTACGATAGTTGGTTTTCACTAAATTCTCAAACAACTTTTGCATAGTGGAAATGATCTTCCTACTATAGTCAACACCTGAAAAATGGGTAAATTTTCAAAAAGCATGATGCAATTTAAAGTACACGTGAGGTATAGGGATTGATTCTTTCAAAGGGTTCACACAACACAAAGTTACAGAGCTCCCCCTGCACGTCACCTGGGGAAGGATGTGGAGGGTGGGTCTTGAGCTTGCGTGCCGTGGTCTGCAGACTGCCTGCCAAGCATGCGGCCACCAGGAGGTCGCCACACGTGACATGGGATGAGGCATTCACCTCCGGGTCAGAGGTGTGCAGTACAGGGCCACGCCATCAGTGGAAACAAGCCCGTTTCTAAATGTGGCTTAATAATGTGACAGTCACATGTGCAAGGAGCAGGACTGGCGTCAGGGGGTGAATGACGGCTCTGTTCTACGGTTAAATGCTGATGAGCTGAGAAATGTTAGCGACCCCAGACGGGGAAGTGGGCAGACAGGGAGGAGGAGTGAGGAGGCTCTTCAAAGACCCCGTTCCATTTGCCAAAGTGGATTTTCTTTTTCAGTGTAGCCTGTGATGTCATCCAGATGTTCCAGGACTTCTTTCACCTGTCTGACCTCCTGGTCCCAGACCCAGGTGGAAGAGACATGCAGAGTGACCTGCTCCATTGAAAAGCAACTGTCATGAGCTAGAATCACTTTAGGAGCCTAAAGACTGGACTGTGCAATTTAACGGTAGCACCAATTTTTTATGTTAAAAGAATTAAATAAAAACCTGAGAAGTCTGACACGCAGTGAGGACACATCTGTCCCCCTTCCTGTCTGCTCTGCTTCCCTGGCACGGACACGGGCTGGAGTAGCCTGTGCTGCACCCCGAGGCCTGGCCGGAGGTCCTGATGGGTCTCAGTCCTGGGGTAGCCTTCGGCACCGCCATCTCCCGAAGACCGCAGATGACCACAAGGAGCTCCGCCAGTGCCTAGGGCTCTTCCTCTGGGGTTTTCCTTGGGCAGACGGGACAGCACATGCCTTCGGCTTTCACGGGCGTGGGACAGGAGGCCAGCTGGCAGGCTTCCACGAAGCAGGTGACCTGCCCATCCTGCAGGGGAGACACACACAGCTGACACCTCTGGGCCAGCCTGAGGGGCATGTACTGGTCACCCTGGGCCCTGGCCCCTCTTCTCACGGTGCATCCCGGCCTGTGCCCAGAAGTGATGGGCTCATCTCCTCTGCAACTGCACCAGAGTGGTGATTCTGGGGGCTTCCCAGCTGCACACAAGAACTAGCTAAGAACAATAGCCACTTCCTCCAGGGGCTCACACTCCCGGCTTTCTGTCCATCACTCTGACAGGAATCCATGGCCACAGGCTACGCTTGCACCTCATCCCACCAGGAAGGTGGGGGGACAGAAAGAAGGGTCAGGGAACCTGGCCTGTCCTTCCTGAGTGAGACCAGCCAAGGGACACCGAATGCCACCCTGATATCCCTGATGAGAAACAAACCTGTCCTTGGCTGGCACCCAGATGTCCCAGACAGGCCCTCACCATCACTGCCCTGCCAGCCAGCCTTGCCCCAAGCTGTCAGGCCAGGCTTCTGGTCCCTGCTCTGACCTGGCACCCGCACCTGCCCACTATCTCCCTTCTGCCCAAGATGAGCCATGTCCCCAACACGGGAGCCAACAGCCCTGGGCAGGACTGGAATGAGCTGTGTAGCCCCGTGCTGGGGGAGCCCGAGCTGTGGTATATGTGCAGGCTCCTCGGTGGGAACCTTCCACCTGGCCAGCAGCAGGTACAGCTGGTGCACACAACACCTTCTGTGGGGCTGTCTTTGCCCATCTTCTAGTAGGGCAGGTGCCATGGGTCTGGTCCCACGAGCACCTTCTCTGCAGTGTACCTGGTCCTGTGGGCTCCTGGTGTTCCTTGAGCCCTGGGCCATCCCTCCCCCGGGGGATGTGGGGCACCACACAGGCCCCATACTCACCTTGCACTCGCACGTGGTGCAGGCGTCCGTTTTCCACTTTGTGTTGTTGGCGTGGGACTCGCCATCCGTGTCCACGCACTCTGAGGTGCTGAGCCGGGACTCAAGCTTGTTTATCTGGAGAGGCACAAAGTGCGCCCTGGTCACTGCAGAGCATTGGCATGGGGCACATGTAGACCCCTGATGGGATCCCAAGTGCACCGGTGAGACAGGTGAGGGTGTCGGAAAGTGCCACAACTGGATGCCCAACACTGTGCCACCTGACACCACGCCGCCCGACAGACGAGGGCATGGGGTCTGCAGTGTGGTTATAACAAGGTCAGAAGGCGCCTGGAGACCGTCACCGAGTCTTCAATCCACGACAAGAACATCGTGCACTTAGGTTTTCCAAAGACCACGACTATCAGTTCTAGGATCACGTTCCCAGCAACAGAGCCAGGTTTTCTTTGGAAGTGAGGCACACAGGTGTGAGCATGTGACTCTCAGGATGTTTCGGGACAGGCAGGAGTTCCCTGGAGCCAACATCCCCAGCTGACTGGCCTCAGGGACTAGATTTGTGGAGAACAATTTTTCCACAGAAAGGTGGGGGTGGAGGGTGTTTTGAGATGATTCAAGCACATTAATTTATTGTGCACTTTATTTCTATTAGTAGCACACCATGCACTGTTTTTATTATCATATTGTGCACTTTATTTCTACTCTTGCATTAATTTTTTTTTTTGTACCAGGAATTGAACTCATGACTTTGTGCTTGCCAGATAGGCATTGTGCTGCTGAGCTATATCCCTGGCCCTGCATTAATTCTTTTAAAGGCATGTGCCCTACATCCCATGCATGTGCAGCTCACAGGAGGGCTCACACTCCTAGAGTCTAACACCCACCGATCTGACAGGAGGCGGCACTCAGGCGGGGATGCCAGCAACTGGGGGTGGCTGGAAATACAGACGCTTCACCCACCTGCCGGCTACTCACTTCCAGTTTCCTAACAGGTTTGGGACTCCTGACCTGAAGGGTTTTCTGTAGCCAGCTTCCTGTACCCTACTGGGGGTACAGATGGGTGAGGCAGCTGGAGGCCCTTCAGAATAAGCAACAGCTGGGGTCCCACCTCTGGGGAAGGCCAGCAGCCTGGACCCCTTGAGGAAAGGCAGCCTGTGCCTCCCTGGATCCATCTTTACTTTGGGTTTTCTGTTGGCTGCAACTGAGCTTAAAGGAGCTGTTGTGGAGGCCTAGAGTGGGCGTCACTTATGCACCAACTTCATCCTGATCCTTGGAACAAGTTTCTCGAGAGCCATGTACAACAGTCTCTTGCCTGCTTTGGTGACAGGCAACAGTGGCTACGCTCAAGCTGAATGACAAAGCCACTGCGTGTGCACCTGAGTTAAAACACTGTCCACACCCTTCTCGCAATGACTGCCATGCACAGACACACGAGCCCATCCTGTGTAGGAGCACGGGATGTCACTTGCAAAAACCCATGCAGTCCCAGTGTCAAAATCACCTCTGCCAGGTGTGGTGGTGCATGCCTGTAATCCCAGCACTCTGGGAGGCTGAGGCAGGAGAATCCTAAGTGCAAGCCCAGCCTGGGCAACTTAGCAAGACCTTGTCTCAAAAAATGGGGGTAGGGCTGAGGTTGTAACTTAGTGCAGGGGTACTGGGTTTAACCCCCAGAATTCCCTAAAGAAATCCCTTTCCCTTTGTATTTTAAGGTGATTCTACCCTTGAAGAGCTGGCATCTACGATTTAATTAGTTGAATAGCAATTCACCTTGTGAAATATCTCAGATTGGCTTGGCTTCGAAATCAGAACAACTATTCTGTATGAATCATTCATTAGAAGGACTGATATTTAAGTCACTAAAATTTTAGAAATCTGTTATCAGACCCATGAAGATAAGCGGGAGGGTCCCTATGTCCTCAGGAGCCAGTGGCAGTCAGACCTATGTGTCCTGTGAGGCCCCAGACATCTGTGGCCGACCCTGCTGGAACTCAAAGGCCCAGACAAGCAAGTGCAAAGTTGACCCACGCATGCCTCAGCAGTCCTCAGGGTCAGTGGGCATCAGGCACGGGGGTGGCCATGCCCAGATGCCAGTGAGGGGACCCAGTCTGGATGCCTCCAAGCTGAGTCAGGGCTGCCTATAAAAGTCACACGGATGCTCTGTACTTTGAGCTTCAGGTTGCTGCCCCTTTGTGATGCAAGTGGGAACCTCACAAGTCACCTGTCCACCTGGCTCACCCGACTCCCTTGGGGCTCACAGCCTCCACTGGGTTCCCAGGAAACGTGCATCTGTCACCACCTTGACATCTGCAGGGCTTGGTCTCTGTACCCGTGGCCTGGCATGTGCTTACATCAGCAGGATGGAGGAGCTGGGGGCACAGAAGAGGCAGAAGCCACCCAAGACCAGAGGATTTCAGGGCCACATTGGCAGATGATCTTGTTATGGTTTACATCTAAAATGTCACCCAAAGTCTCATGTATGTGGAAGGTAATGGACCGTGGGCACTGTGCCCAGCAGAGGAACCATCTATAGATGAGTACATGGCTGAATGTGCTGTAGGTGGTGGGGCCTGGTTGGAGGAGGTCACTGGGGTGACCTGGAAGGGTGAATTCTTGACCCCACCTCCTCCCTGCTCCCTGTTGGAACCAGCTGACCATGGACTGAACCCTTTGAAACTGTGAGCCATTAAACCCGTTCTGTAAGTTGTAGGTATGGAGTATTTTTGCTCCAGCAATAGGACAGTGGGTGAATAAACCAGTTTCTCTAAAATTGAGGAGTTCAGGAGTAGGAGCAGAGCTGTACCCACAAACCCTAAGACCAGAGAAGGCACCACATGTCCTTGAGTCCTCCCTGTGCCAGGAAGAGGCAGAAGCCAGTTCCTGGGGGTTGTGAGGGGAGAGCACTGTGGATGGGCACCACTTGCCATGGACAATCACTCCAAAGCTACTCCTGAAAAGTGGTCTGGGAACAAAAAGTGAAGTTTGCCATCTCCCAAGCATTCCACACCTGGTTTTTGTGACGTTGAGCCTGTGATACTAAGTGCCCACTGCCAAGTCCCTGGCCAGCTGGGAAACCCAGAGAGTCCAGCTGTGCAGGCCCGGTAGAGATGAGCAACAGAGAAGGGCGAAGGCACTGAGAGGGGACACCTGAGTGGATACTGGGCCGGCTGGGCACACCACAGTTCCCTGGAAGGGAAAGAAGTGAGACGTGGAAAAGGTTTGCAGGATGAAGAGCAGGGTGTGGCGTAGATGGCGTTACCTGTTTTCTGAGCTCTGTGATAGTCTTCTGCATTTCCTGGACAAATTCTTTGAAGTCGTTTGTGGCCAGGCCTTCTGAGTGCTCAAAGACTGCTGCCGTGGTGTTACCCATGTGTGTGCTGTGTTTTCTGACACTAAGGGGGAAAAAAGGAGAAGCTGAGAAATGTCATTTCTGCAGGTAGGAATGTCACCTACCCAGATGCAAATTCATGCTTCTGGAGTGTCCCTCCTCCTACGTCAAGTACTCAAGGGCTGTAGCCAGCACAGCCTAGCTGGACAGAGGCTACAAGACTTGTCCCCCTCCCAACACCCACTAGGATGTCTCCTGCTGTACTCAACTGGGCCGAGCAAAGAACAGAGCAGACAGTGGACCCCCAGCCCTACTGCCCATCACGGTTCACCAGAGACACACGAACCTCAGTCCCCTCCGAGGCCTGGATCTCTTGGCTGGCTGGTCCTCCCGGTAGCTGAATCCTAGGGACCGTCTACCTCGGAAGTGGTAGGAGAATGCGTTGAACTGCCCCCTGGTCCTGCAGTCTAAAGAGAAAGCGGAAAGGGCCTGTGAGTGGATGGCGGCTCCAACTTTGGAGAAAGTAAGCATACCTGGTCAAGCAGCAACAATCCTCACATCGCATCTACGAAACCAACGGGGACACTGCAGGTCAGGCTGTGACTGGGGTGGCCTCACGGAGCCATAAGCTGGTCTCACACAGGGGAAGAAGTGGGCCTGACCCTGCTGTTCCCGGAGGTCCCCAACACCTCCTCCTGGGATTGCAGCCCCTCCATAACTCAGGTGGAGGGAGGAGCCTCAGTGCACTCACCTGGGCCCCACATACATCACCCCAACACCATGAAGCACTTCTCACATGCCTGTAATTCATCTGAGCAGCTCATCATTGAGCTCAAGCCAAGCCCTCGACTGGATCTGCTCTTCTATAAGCTGACCACTGGTCATCTCAGGACGGCAGAGAGGGCCATTTTTCACACAGCTCCAGGGACACAAAAAACCAGGTTAACCATAGCCACGTCTCCTCCTAGTAACCCCAGTCCTGCCCAGAGCCTCCTCATCTTGGAGTTGGCTGATCCTACCACGGGGTCAAGGCCACGTGGCAGTACCCAGGGCTTCCCGCCTTTCCAACAACGCCCTCCTGGCCCTTGGTTGTACAGGGTGTGTGTCTGGGCCACGCTGCTTGGCCCCAGCTTGCACAGCGCCAGGCTACCTGGCTCTCTAGGTGGGAGCACTCGCTAAAGCGGATGCGCTCACCAGAAATGCACAGGGCCCAGGAAGTGGCTCCAAGGTGCTGCATAACAGGACGATGCACTCTGAGCACAACCCTTTCATGCAAAACATTCTGTCCTGGCCGGGTGTGGTGGCACGCACTTTTATTCCAGTACTCGGGAGGCTGAGGCAGGAGGATCATTGCAAGTTTGAGGCCAACCCAGGCTACAGAGTCAGGTCAAGCCAGCCTGAACTACACAGTGAGCCTCTGTTTCAAAAGAAAAACAAGAAACTCCACCACCAACAACAGAGGCAGAGAGTACACCCCTAGGTGTAGCTTCTGGGTCCTGAAGTGCATGGGTCTCACATGCCACAACCACAAGCTGGTGTGGCGCTGCAAGCAGGTTTCCCACGCCTCTCTTTGAAAACTGAATTAGTGGTGAATGGCAACCAATGCTGGGCTTGTTAAGCTTTAATTCTTTTTTTTTTCTTTCTCTGCTACATTGTAGATACAGCTTTTGGTCTGCATTAAAACTAGATAAAGGAAGGGTTTTTTTAGGCTCTGTGGCTGAGGGCCCTGCCTGCCACTGTAAGAGGGGAAGATCTGGGGAGGCCATGTGGGCGTGGGTGATGGCTTGAGGAAGGGGTTCGCCAGGAGCCCGGTGCGGGCCTGGCTGCACACTGCTCTGCAAGCACAGCAGGCTTTCTGGGCAGAACAGCAGCACACCCAGCTGCCATCCTCCTGAAGGAGCTGAAGGGCGTCTGGGGAAGTTATCAGAAAATGCAGCTTTTGTATGTGAAAACAAGAATTGGCTTTTCCCACGATTTCTGAGGACAGTTTTCTGCAAACACAGAATGAAATTCTCTGGATGCTTGTGGAAAAGCATTTAAAGAAAACAAACTGGGAGAATATAAAATAAAAACAAAAACCCCCTGCAAAAATGCAGATATTGGTTCCTAAAAAATGTGGGAACAGGACAGACAGGGAGACATATAAAATCATTTCTCTTTCCCTCTTTCACACACACATACTTGGAAGGAAGTGTTATAAACAGGCTGGAATATTCAACCCAGACTTTAATTTTAACTTATTAATTTAAATAACATACTGAACTATTAATGTCAGGACAAAAGGACTAATCCTCTGGGGATTATCACGCCTCCACAATCCAATACCTTCCCCAAGCCCCACCTCGGAGCGAACGAGGTTTTGGGGGACATTGAGACATACACCGTAAGATTGGCTGACATGAGTGAGGTTCAGGAATGCAGAGTAGGAACCAGGCTATGAGGACAGTGGCCAGAAGTGGCAGAGGTGGTGGTGTCCCCGTCGGCCAGCTGGGACCTCTTTCTGGGGCTTCCAAACCTAATAACAGGCCCTTCCCATTTATGGGCACTGTACGGCAAGCTTGAGTATTTCCTTCCGCAGGCCCCAGCGCACCCTGCTCACTCTGCTAACGGAAATCTGATAGGCTTCCTTGATATGTTTATTTCCCCCTTTTATCTGTGGACCTAGAGGCTAATGCACAAATATTTACAGATTTAGATGAGGTTTAAAGGCACATTATTAAAGTTCTGCCTCTTTTATTTACTATTGTGCTCATGAATATATGGATGGTCCTAAGGATTATAAGAGTTAGAATTTTCCTATCACCTAGCTATGGGAACATCAAGATCATGTGCCCATGATGACGCCAATGTAAAAAACCCCACTGGGTAAGAGTCCTAAAATACAGCTTTATTATACAGTGCGTAGTTGGTTTTTTTTTTTTTTGTCTTTTTTCAGGCAGGGCCTCACTATGCAGTTCAGGTTGGCCTTTAGCTCACTTTGTAGCCCAGGCTGGTCTCGAACTCACAAGGATCCTCCTGCCTCAGCCTCCCGAGTGCTGGGATTACAGGTGTGCACCACCACGCCCTGTTTTTTTTGTCTTTTTGAGACAGGGTCTCACTATGCTCACTGGCCTTGAGCTCACTTTGTAGCCCAGGCTGGTCTTGAACTCACAATGATCCTCCTGCCCTAGCCTCCAAAGTGCTGGGATTACAGGTGTGTGCCACTGTACCTGGCTGTAATAACTTGATAATGATCAAAAGGCAATGTTGCTGATTCATGTATTCATCATATCCCACTTTTCATCTTATTTATTTCTTTAGGTAGTACTGAGGAATGAACTCAGGGCCTTTGCACTGAGCTACATGCCAGGCCCTATTTATTTATTTAATTATTTATTTGGAGACAGGGTCTTGCTAAGATGCCCAGGCTGGATTTGAACTTGTGATCCTCCTGCCTCAGCCTCTCCGAGTGTTGAGATGATTGGCATGTGCCTCCAGGCCTGACCCATCATTATTTTATAGTGTGCTGTTTCTACTTTAAAACCAAGTTTATTGAGTGTTCTGTGGGCAGCAGCCTCAGGCATTTGCATTTCCTGTGTCTCCTGATGGCATCCAGAGGCCCGGTGGTGTGACCAGCCCACACCACTGCTGTGTGTGTGTGTGTGTGTGTGAGAGAGAGAGAGCCAGCCAGTCAGTGTGCACTCACTCTGGGTGTTCACACGAAGCCAAGATCGCCTGATCACACATTTCTCACCGAGCAGGATTGTGCAGCCTAACATAATGGGCCCCATCCCTCCGTAATGGCTCCTGATCATGCAGCCAGGAAAGCCAGAACAGGGATGTCCTCTCCCTCCAGCCCTGCCACACACCTTCGCAACAGTCCTGCCACACGCGGAGGTCCACCTTGGGGACGTCCTCACAGCTGCCGTAGCCGTGTGGGAACTCGGCTACCCTGAACACGTCCGCTTGCACTCGGGTGATGTTGTCTGAGTTGTCACACAGGATCCGCGCCAGCGAGGTCTGCTTGATCTGCGTCAGCTGGGCAGGGGAGAACACCCCGGGGTTCTCGTACCACAGCCTGTGCCGGGAGATAGCAGGGTCAGAGGTGGGCAGGGACTCCTGTGCCACGGCCCCTCCCACTTCCCAGCAATTCCTGGTTTTCAACAGCAGCTATTAAAAGGGGAGTCAGACCCCCAAACAGAAGACCCACTTCAAAAAATAGCCACGTGAAATGAACAGGTACTTTTCAGAAATGGCCAATGAGTACACAAAGAAACGCTTGCCATCGCTGGCCATGAAAGAGATGCAAATTAAAACAACACTGAGATTCCATCTTACTCCTGAAACAATGGCCACCAACAAGGAATCAAATAAATGCTGGAGAGGCTGTGTGTGGGTGGGGTGGGGTGGGGGGGAGCCCTTCTATACTGTAGATGGGAGTGTAAACTAGTAAAAAACTAAAACTAGAAGTTCTGTTCAATTCAGCTATTCAATCCACCTATCCTAGGTGTCTTCCTGAAAGAGTTAAAGACGTATCAGAGTAATACACGCACATCTATGTTTATAGTATCACAACTCATAACAGCTAAATCTTGAAGCGGCCTATATGTCCATCAGTGGGTGAATGGATAAAGAAAATGTGGTACTTATACACAATACAGTACTACTCTGCATAAAAAAGGATGAACTTGAGTCATCTGTAGGAAAATGGGTGCACCTAGAGATGTAATATTAAGTGAAAAAAAATTTTTTTTTTCCCCGTGGCGCTGAGAATTAAACTCAGGGGCTTGCACTTGCCTGGCAGGCGCTTATACCACTGAGCTATATCCCCAGCCCCACCGCTAAGTGAAATGAATCAGACGCTTTTACAAAACAGACGTGTCTGGAATTCCTCAGGAACAGACATTAAACTAGTAACAAACTACAAATGAAAATAAGTCCTGCCAACTCAAACTCTTTCAAAGCTTACCACAGGCTAGCTGTGTGGATTGCTTAGCAGGTGATCCTATTAAAGGAAATGCCCTCGTTAGACACCGCATACTGTAGTGGAGGTTGTATTCTGGGGTCCCCTCCGCCCTGAGTCCTGGGAAGGGCTCACCTGTCTCCGTCCCGCAGGCGCCGGAACTGTGTGCTAAGCAGACACATAAGCGTGGGTCCCAGGCGGCTGCCAGGGACCAGGTCCTCCACCATGAGAGCCGGGAACAGGTCGATGTTGAGCGGGGAGCCGTACAGCCTATGGAAAGGAAGTCGGACTGAACCTGACCCCGCACAGCTGAGTGTGGTTAAAAAAGAAACACAAGTACAGGGAAGCACTCGTTGTTCCAGGATTTTACGTGATTCAGTTTTACCTGACAAAGAAAATTCACCTTTATTTCTCTGATACATCTATCAATTTTAAAGAATTTTTTCCTATTTTTTATTATATATAAAATATATACACACACTTATTTAAGAAATTTAGAGCTGGGTGTGGTGGTGCATGCCTGTAATCCCAGCACTTGGGAGGCTGAGGCAGGATGATCATTGTGAGTTCGAGGCTAGCTTGGTCTACAAAGTGAGCTCAAGGCCAGCCTGAACTGCATACTGAGACCCTGTCTCAAGAAAGGCAAGAAAAAAAAAATTAGAAAAGCCCCTCTCCCCACATAAAAGCCTACAAGGAAGAATATTTAGCCACACTTTTGCTTATTTTCCCAGGATAAATACACTTCATATCACAGTGTAGATCCTTTCTCTCTTCCCCATAAATATATGAATAACCAATAAACAGCATAAAGAATAAAACTGGATTCCTCCATGCATTGAAAATATATGAGCCAGAATGAAAATACCTGCTAAACAAAGACAAGACAATGACTTAAGATAAGGTTTAAATATTCAAGCACAAACACTGCCAACAAAACTCTTCCAACTCTTCAGGAATAAATGCATTCATGTGAAGAACTGGCTACTTCCAGAGAGTGTTCTTCCTCAGTGGGGTGCAATTTCTAGAGAGCTCCCCTGGGCAACAGCAGAGTTCTCGGTTTGCAGAGTCCCAGCGTCTCCTCCTACGACACCCAGGCAGGTGGGGCTCCTGTGACTTCACTCAAGCCGGGATCCCGTGTGCTGCTTTTCTGTCAGTTCTGGGGCACGAGGCTGACTGTCTGGTTCAGGGGTCAGAGGAGCCTGCCAGCGCTTTGGCTGTGCTGTGACGGCCCACAGCGGACCTCCTGTCATGCGCAGCGTCCCGAGGACTCACTTCTGCTCTGTCTTCCTCCTCTGTCCCCTGAAGGGCTCTGCATGGGCTGGAAATGCCTCACTCCCCAGCCTCCATGGCGGGGATGGAGCCACCGGTCCCTGGCACCCCAGGGGACACCCTTCACAAAAGGGGCCGGGGGCCATAGACATGGGATGTGGGGCTGGGGGAGCCCGGGTTGCCCCCAAATAGAAAATCTTCCCCTGTGCCAGTGCAGTGGGAGGACCCCTAAGTTCTGCCAGAAGCCCCCACTGTGCTCTCTGCGAGGCTATAGCCTTCCCTGGTATTTATGTCTGGTCTCCCCTTAGTTGGTCAAGGTTGGCAGAGAACGAGGAAGAGAGCGGTCAGTGGGTGCTGAGCTGTCTTCAACACCTCTGCCGGGCCTGTGTCGATCCAGGGGTGATGCCAGGAACTCAATGCCACCGTTTCTGCACAGTGACCATGGGAAACATCACGGCATGGTGTTCATTATCCCAAAACTGGAGGTAAGTCGGGAATAGGAAGCCTTCCTCTCCTCGCAGGCTGCCCTGGGGCCAGGCGGAGGCACCAGGGGGACTGCAGACAGTGCTAGGGGCCCGGGAGGACACGCTCAGGGGCAACGCTCCATCCCTGACAATGGGAACGGTACACCTCCCATGCACAATGGCCTGGGCCTCTTCAGAAACCCAGGGCTCTGAGGGACCCTTATGGGGAACCCCATGAGCAGTCACGGGGACTGCCTACAAAGACTGAACGTGAGGAAATGGCCATAAATAAGAAAAACACACTCATGAGCATAGAATTGACAGGAGGAATGTTAGAAAAATGCAGAAGACCTGGACATCTCGTTTGGAGGGTTGGGGTCTCACTGGACCCCAAGAGTGGCAGAAGGTCCTGGAGGCAGCTGGGTGTAGGACTGTGTTATGGCTTACGTTTAGATGTCCCCTCAAAAGCCTCATGCAGTCATGGGGCAGCTTCTAGAGTTTATGATTGACTCATGGTCCAATGCTGGGATTATGGGTGTGAGTATACACCTGCCCTGGGACAGGCAGCCTGTATATAAAGGAGGGAGAGAGAGGCTTGTTCACTGCTGCTCTTCCTCTTTTGCTCTTGCTGCTTTTGCTGCTTTCCACTGCCATGAAGTTGCCCCTGCCATGTGCCACTCTGCCTTGGAGCCAGTCAAGTACGGACTGAAACCTCCACAGACTGTGAGCTAAATAAACCTTCCTTCCCTAATTTTGGGTGTTGGTATTTTGTCCCAGCAACGAGAGAAAAGTAACCAAGATAGTCAGGTAACCCCAATCCTAACCAAACGTGTCCCCTCTCCCCCAGGGACCCTCACAACCCCACCACAGGAAGAGCTGCCCAGAAGTGGTATAATTTGCAATAGCTAGGTCTTGAAAGTGGCCTAGATGTCCATCAAGAGATGAAAGGATACAGGAAATGTGGTATTTACACACAATGGAGTACTCCTCTACCATAAAGAAGATTAAACTTGAGTCAAGTGTAGGAAAATGGACGCACCCGGAAACCACAATGTTAAGTGAAGTAAGTTAGACTCACAGGCTTTAATATCACATGGTTTCTCTTCCATGAAGTACAAAGAAGGAGCAAAATAAAAGGACAGCTCATAGGAAAAAGGGCATCCCAGCCCTCAACACTTACCTCTTCAGCTTCTCCCGGATGTCGGGGTTCTTGATCTCATTCTTCAGGTCCTCGAATGTGTGGGTGGCCGACAGGTTGCAGTAGACCCGGTAGTCGTGGTAGGGTGGAATGCCGTGGTCGCGGCCACGCTGGATGTTGATTGCAGCCAGGTCAAGGGCCACTGTGTGCGCCATGGAGAAGAGGCGCTCGGTGAGCTCCGTGTTGAGCAGCTGGGAGGGCATGCGCATCTTCCCTGCCACCCCGAACAAGCCCCGGAGCAGCGGGTCGATGCCGCCCTCGTTCACAATGCGGAAGGGCGAGAAGAAGGCCTTGTGGAGGGGCACATGGCCCTGCGCGATGGGCTCGAAGTTCTCGTCCAGCCGGTGGAGCACTGGGTTGATCAGCGTGTGGCCGAAGCGGAAGGCGGCAGTGGCGAAGGCGTTGAAGATCCCGGCATTGACGCTGGGGTCGTAGCCGCGATACTCGCCCAGCATCTTCATGCCCACCTCCCCAAGCACCTTGGGCAGCCAGTGCTGGTAGGTGATGTGCTGGACCTCGGCGCCCACGATCTTGCGGGTCTCGTAGTAGATGGTGTCCCCATCCCAGTGCGGGTTCAGGGCCAGCAGCTCAGCCGCAATGCGATTGTGTTCGCGGAACCAGAGCGTGTGCATGCTGGTCAGGCCCAGGTGCTCGTTGGCGCGGTGGTCCCCGGCCAGGAAGCACGGGATGGGGCTCTCATTCTCGTCCCGCATGCACTCGGTGGGCGGCCCGGTAGCGAAGGGCAGCAGCGGCTTCCCGGACCTCTGCACGATACCCTGGCGTAGCAGGCCCCGGTGGCTGGCCAGGTCCCGGATGGCGCGGGCCTCATGGTCCGTGCTGCCGTACACGTTGGATGCATCGATGTAGGAGGTGAGCTGGTTGATCTGCTCCCGTGGGTACACAGAGTTCATGAGCAGAGATGTCATGCCGCTGCCACACACGGGGCTGGAGCGCACAAAGAACATGCAGCGGGCACCACTGCGGGCTCGGGGGTCATTGGGGGGGATCATGACGGAGAAGCAGGGGGGGTCGCTGCCGCACACTGAGCTGCACGGCTGTCCGTCAGAGAAGCGGTCCTGGCTCAGGGCCACCACTGTGGAGTCCAGGTCGTGGTCCAGGAACTGCCCCCACTGCATGAGCATGTGCGTGAACTGTGTGTCAGGTGTGATCGCCTCTGTCCCGATGAGCGTGGTGGACACGAGGCGCGGCATGGGCAGGGCATGGCCGTGGTATAACCTCTGCGGGCTGATGCCGCGCGGCGTGTTGAAGCCGTTCTCGTACACGGCCTTCAGCAGGCGCTCGAAGGCGGTCAGCGAGGCGCCCCACATCGGGTGCTGCAGGTTGTTGCAGGTGCCGTCGTGGGTCCTGTACTTCTGGTGGAAGCACATGTCTGAGCAGTTGTTCACGCGCCGGTGCGCGGTGCAGCCCGACAGGTTGGCGATGAGGCTCAGGTACTGAGGGGACACCAGGTCGTTGTAGTGGTAACCTGCAAGGTGAGCACCCCAGGTCGGTGCAGAGCTGCGCCCGGCTGTGCGGCAGAGCTCAGCCTTCCCCTGCCCGCCCTCCACTCCCTGGCACAGAGCCCGAGCCTCCCTGTTTCCATGTCTAGCTCCAAGCGTGGTGACCGCTCATGGTCACCGGCCCGGCCTTGACATATGTACTCTCCTCTTTTCGGCTTCACTCAGAGCTCTGGGGAACAGAGAAGAGATACAACTCAGTATCACCTGTGTCATGGTGCAAGCCAGACACTTCCCAGATGCCCCGTCCTGGATGTTGAGATCAACTCTGAGGGTCACTAGCCGCCACGTTGGCTTGGGAGGCTAAGTCCTCCGAAGATACTGCTAGGATGCAAGCCCTCCTTCCTCTCCATTGCTCTGGCACAACCCTGGGCCACACTTTCACAATGCTGCCTTTGATTCCAAAAGAGCTCTGGCCCGCAGAGCCCCCACGAACACCCTGCGAATGGTCTCACGGGTGTGGAGGAAATCCTGCACTTTCTAGCCAGGAATGTGGCTTCTACCCATGACACCACTCTTCCGACCCAGAGCTTCTGTCTTGCCTTTCGAGTCTCCTGCTCCTGGCAATAGGAGCACTGGACACCATGGGGTTAGACCTTCAGGGCTCAGGCTCCCCAAAGCTGCTCCCAGGTATTCACAGAGCCAGGCTCCGCCTTCTCCAACACCCTTCCCCCAAGGGCATGCTGGGACCTGACGAAAAGACACACATGTATCGTGCATGCAGTCACACGTCCACACACACACATCCACACACACACAGCTGCACGCCCTCATGTGTGTGTGCCCCTAAGTCACATGTATGAGCCAAAGGTACACTCATTCAAACAAGCACATGTGCACTCGTGCAAGCTGATGTGCACAGAGACATGGGCGAGCATGCTCACATGTGCACACATTCAGACACACTGACACACTCACATGCATGTATGCACAGGCTGCAGCATCCTGGGCCTCCAGTGCATCTTGAGACCTGATCTACACAGTTCAAGGAACGACAGGTGGCCCTCTTCACGGTGATGACACCAAAAACATCCCCACGAGAACCCCAAGGGGAAGGGAAGTGGGGTGTCCTGGGCCAGAAAGAAGCAATCAGAAACACTGTACCCAGGCAGGCGCCACGGCGAGGAGCAGGAGCCACCACTGTGTGTGGCCGTGGCGCACACCTTGCTCTGACCCAGCATGAAGGTAGAGGGCCTGGTGCGGCTCTTGGGAAGTCTCAGAACTCGAGGTTTGGACGCAAAAGCACCAAGGAAGCAGAGGGCCAGGAAGGAAAACCCTTCCTGCGCCTCAGGACGGTGGGGCAGCAGACCCAGATGCACAGGCAGATGAGCAGGAGTCCACGTGGGCCCTCCTGACACAGCCTCTGGTGGCATCGATCCGTGTGCGAGACCTCTGTGGTGCCGACCCGTTCTGAGCATGCCCTGAAGCCTCTGCCCTTCTTCTCACCCTCCTCCACTCCGGCCACCCTGACCTGCAGATGTGGTCCCTTCCCAGAGCCTGTGCACCTGTGGTCCCCGCCCTAGGGGGCCCCTCGCCTGTGGTGCCACTGCTTGAGGTTTACCTTCCATGAGATGGCCCTGGGCCTGGGCCCTTCATCTTCCTCTCACTCCTGCCTCCCTCAGCCTTATGCCTCAGCCTGCGTCACGCCTGCACTTTCCTGAAATGTCAGATCTTTGAGACTGAGGCTGCTGCTCCCCCAGACCCAGGCAGCACCTGGCATGGTGGAGGATGTACAAGTCACGGGTGTAGGACAGATGGATAAGGCAGGACTGGGGTTTGGGAGCTACGGTTTCTTCTTTTTGCCTGAGATTCACATCTTTCTCCACCTGGCATGCAGTGATAGGAAAAGGATTTGTAGCCCTTCACAAGGGGCCTTGAGTTCGAGGCAGAGCCAGGACCCAGGGCCAGAGGTCAGAGGGTGGTGTGGTGGCCTGCAGGTCCCGCACGACTACTTCTGGGGACTGGAGCTGGTAGCTAAATGAGTGGTGGGAAGCAGCAGGAAGAGACTTTTAGCAGCTCCCACTTTGACCTCCATATAAGAGAAGATGTGAAAAAAAAAAAAAGAGAAGATGTGGGTCTCTATACCAGGACAGAAGAGATGCACCCCAGATGTGGGAAGGGCTGGGGGATGCCATAGACGATGCCCAACCTGTGCCTGGTAGGCAGAATGCTGTCAGAAAGAAGGAAGTGGGCCTGGGAAGAGACTGAGGTTGTGTCCCAAGGTTCAACTCCAAATGTGGCAGAATGGAGACGGCTCAGGGTGTCACTGAGCTCCCAGGGTGGGGTGCAATGAGCCCCGACTCTCACCTCCTCCCCGCTTTCATCTCACACATTCACTGTTGTAACATCAAATCCCGGGAATCGCTCACACTGCAAGGACGGCTGCTCTGTGTATGTGTGCATGTGTGTGCGCACGCGGACGTGAAACGCATTCACGATGCAAAGGACAACAGAAATGTGTCACACAGTAAAAGTCACAGCCATCAGAGGCACAACTGCAAGTGCGATCATGACATCTAGAGCCAGAGCTTATGTCCCGGCAGTGGCTGGAGCTCACGCCCAGGGGGTCCCCCATCCAAGCACACAAGAGATGGCCTGCTTGGTGGCTCTGGAGACGCGAAGATCTTCACGCACATCCTTTTTAACAGCCACTGAGCTTTGTGGACACTGTGCCCTTATTATCTGTGGCCCTCTTTCCTTCAATCTCTCTGTCACTCGAGGACAGGACTTCACAGCCTGCAGGGAAACAGCTGTGCCCACTCAGCATGGGCATGTGGGTGACCAGCGAGCACTCCTCACCCATAGCCTCCCGCGAGGCCCCGCTACAGTACACCCTGACCCATGGGCACAAAGGAGCGGAGGAAAAGGTACTGACTCGTGCCGTTTAAGTCGACCATCAGCCCATGCCGCACGTGCTCCTGGATGAGCTGCAGTGTGCGCTCGAAGATCTCTCCAGCTCGGGCTTGTCCCACGGTGTACGGGTCCCTCGGGTACCGGAAGAGGGCCAGCAGGTCATTTGGAGAGCGAGGCCGGCTGAGTGGAGGAGAGCATGGAGACAGATCGGTGTGGACCAACACCAGCAGAATTCGAAAGGACTGATGCTATGGATACTGCTATCGCTACTGTGGACAACGCGATGTACTGTACCTGGCTTATCCGGAGCGGAAGGCAAAAGAACAACAAACGGACAGACAAGAACCAAGAGACACTAAAAACAAATCATTAATTAAGTCAAGAGAGAAAGTCACAGGTACTGCATTTCAATGAAGGTACAGAGAAACTGCTGGAATTGCCAACAGGCGTTGGTGCACTGAGGGCTTTGGGAACGCTTTTGTTTTTGCCAAATCACTTAGTTCAAGAATGCATGAATCATGGCTCAGACTCCGTTAGGAAAGTACACATCCTCCTGTTATCCTAACACCCAGAAAGGTCAGAGCCAGTGCTGTTTACGAGTACTAAATCAAAAGTTTTCTTGGGATGGAGCCGGTCAGAGCTCTGTGCACCAGGGCTGCCCGGATTCCAACCCCGCACCCGGAGCTGGGCATTCCACCCCGCAGCCCAGATACCTGTCGAATAAGTGTGTTCGCGTCGAATTTATGGCTCTGTCCACCGTTGCAATCGCTTCAACAATGGAGGTGGCGACAAACGGGTCCCCATTTCGACTGACATCGGGAACTAGGGAAACATGAAGTCAGAAAAAACACTGCAGGAGTTACTCGTCTGCTAGTGTCTAGACGCTACATCATGCAGGAACGAGCATGCGCTCTCCACAGGGTGTTTCTATTTTCAAACCATGGCTTCAGTGATCTTATCACAAATTCTACTAAAAGCTGTTTTCAAACAGTATGGAAACTGTAGACTTTTTGGAATGATGTGATAGCCCATGAACAGACAGGAACAATCGGGCAAGTTTTACACTAAAACAGGGATGTTTTACACTAAAGGTGATGTCGGGCCTTGGCCCAGGGGGCTGAGGTCTCCCCTGAGGTGCCAACTGTCCCTCCCCTGGTCTGCACACCCACACCTTCACACACATCCTCTACACGGCACGTGTGCACACATACAACACATGACACACCACACACCATGCATACATCACACCAGACACACATCCCACAGCATATACACACACAGCACACCATATACATGTCACACACAGCACACACATTATGCTATACAAACACACACACACAGAAAACACCACAGACACACACCTGCACAATACACTATACATCACACACTATGGACCACAATCACACATACATACAACACATCGCATACCACATACGATACACAATACACACGTATCACACTATACACAGACACAACTCCCCACACATGTACGAACACCAGGGCACACACACATCACAGACTCCCCACATAGCACAGACATACGACACAGAGCACACCATATGCAAAACACACATCTCACTACATACACAACATACTCAACACACATCATGCATATGTGTACCCCACGGTGCACGCGCTTTCTGGTTCTCGCCTGCTCCCTTTCACCTGATGCTAACTTGTCAGCGCTGTTTGCCAAGCATGATAACCTCATTCTAACCACCCCGTATCCAGAGCACTGTATCCAGAGCATTGAAAAGGCTCTGGCCACACCACCAGCCATGGCCATCTTTTTTTTTTCCTTTTAATTTTAGCAAAATTAGGGACTGAACCCAGGGCTTCCCCGCTGAGCTACATCCCTACATTCCCAGCTTTTTGTTACTTGTTTGTTTGCTTTGAGAGAGGGTCTTGCTAAATTGCTAAGTTATGTGGGCTGGGTTCAAACTTGCCAGTCTCCCGCCTCAGCTTCCTGGAATGCTGGGGTTACAGGTGTGCACCACTGTGCCTGGCTCTGTGTTCATCTTAACAGGCGATGACACTGCTCCTGCACAGATGCAGACACTCCCCAGACTTGGACACAGTTGGGAGCTACTTATTAAAATGCTTTCTACTTCGGCTCATGAGATGGTCCTCCTCCCAGCAGCGCAGGCCCTCCTGGCCTCCCTAACACCTTTTCAGCCTCAGCTGCTCTCACCGGCTGGCTCCCTCTCTCTTTTCGGCAGACAGGTGTACAAAGAGTGGCTGAGGGGAATCCCTGCTCTCTGACATCATCTCATGGGTTGGTTTTCCACTGTGACTTGATGACCTATCTGGCTCCCAGGGCTGAGCACAGTCACCCTGACCTCTCTGAGGAGCCCCAGCACCACTGACCCCTTCCCCTGCTAGCCATCTCCAGCTCGCTGTGCAAACAGCAGCCTCCATGCTCCTCTCCTCGACCCGGCTGCTCCTGAGCATTCAGGGCTCTCAGTGGACCCTGATCCACTGATGGGCAGGACAGAGGCCCTGAGCGATCGTCCACACCTTTACCATTCAAACAGAATCAGGCCTCGTGGGCGTGGAAGGTGGCTGTACACGGGGCACCACACTCATCAGTGGACTCATCCAGGGCAGACTCACTGCTGGGAGTGGGGCAGGCTGGAGGTGTCCCACGCACACCGTCTTCTGCCATGGCACGGGCAGCTGTCCTCCGCCGCGCCCCTCTCCCATCCTGTTTCTGCCTCGCAGCTAGCTGAAGTGGGGCTCAGTGGGCCAAAATAAGCCTCTCCTCCTTTGAGGGAGGTGTCTTGTGACATGACTAATACACACCCCGAGGGAGGGTTCCGCCTGTGAATCAGGGACCCACTATCTCTCAGTCATTCTGCATACCCTAAACTGGTTTTCCTAAGGGGAGCAGAGACGCAGACATGCTGTCCCCCGACACGGGCCTTACCGCTCACGCTGAGCACCATGCTGACCGAGGCGTAGCCGATCGTGTTCCTGGCCACGCACTCGTAGCGACCTGCGTCCGCGGGCCCCACATCATTGATGGTCAGGAACCCTTCAGGGCTGATGTGAAATTTTCCACTTTCTGTGACCTGAACCCCGTCCTGGAGTGAAGCAGTGAGAAAGGTGGCAGCAGTAAGGTGAAGACTAAAGCTGTTCTTCTTGGGGGGACAGAGAAGGTGCCCTCAAGACTGTGGAAGGGAAATGGCTTGGAGGCTGCGCTCCAGCTGCCCAGGGCAGGGTGATTCAGAGGCAGACTCAGAGTGCACAAGCCCCGTGCTTGGCGAGGGAGCAGTGGGGAGGAAGGACAAGGTGGGAGGTGAGTGGCTGGGGCAGGAGGAGAGAGCTGGGGGCCTCAAGACCCTGGCACAGCGCCCCTAGCAGGTCCTACACATAGTGTGTGCTGGTTTGTATGTTTTGTACTAGGCTGAATGAAAAAGCAAAGGAAAGTGAAATTTTAAAAAAGCCATTATGCTGGGCATGGTGGCGCATGCTTGTAATCCCAGCCCTTGGGAGGTTGAGGCAAGAGGACTGCAGCCAGTTCATGCCAGCCTGGGCTACATGGTGAGTTCAAGGTCAGCCTGCACTACACAGGGAGACCCTGTCACAAAAAGAAAAAAAAAAAACAAAACGAAACAAACCATCACTATTGCTTGTGACACTGTGGACTGAAAGAGCAAGTTTTTCTTTGCTTTTGTTGCTGGACAGCAAGAAAAGAGAAGATCTCAAGTTTGTTTTTATAACTCCCAGGATATCTGTGACCCAAGCTTCTGGGCTGGAATGTGGCTCCATGGTAGAGCACTTGCCCAGCATGCCCAAAGCCTTGGGTTCAAAAAAAGAGCTGACCTAAGCTGGCAACGTGTATATCTTTCTCTCTGCTGTGGAAAGTCTGCAGGACAGACAAGGAGGTGGTGGCCACCCACCGTCCCTGGTGACGCTGGGCTCTGCAGCAGGGCTCTCACCTTGTTCCAGGTGATGGCTGGCTCAGGCTCGCCCTGCGAGCTGCAGGGCAGCTGCACGTTGGTCCCCACCTCCACGGTCAGGTCACTGGGGATGCTGGCAAACACCGGCGTGACTGCGAGCAGGGAGAGAGGTCAGCGCAGCTTGTTAGCAGCACACTCAGTGCTGGGTCACTGTGATTGGTGTCCACACAGAGCAAGAGCCCGGGCACCTGTGGTGACTGCCCCTCCTGCATCCCACCCGGAGGGCAACAGCACCCTGTGAACGTAACCGGCTCCTCTGCTCAGAGAGCTTGGAGAGCAGCTGACGTTTGAAGGAAGGAAACTGAGTCAGAACCACGCTTTCCCATCTACAGGTGAGGGACTGACTGTGGCAGGCTGGGCACTCTTCTGGGAGCCACCCCAGCTCCTCCTTGCCCAACTATTCTGCTGAGGCTCTGCTCGGTGCCTACCTCGGGGCTGCACGGTCAGGTGGGCCACAACCTTCTGGGAGCCGATGATGTTGACAGCCTGGCACTCGTACTGGCCCTGGTCGTGCAGGGCCACCCCGGAGATCCTGAGTGTGCCCGAGGACAGCACCAGGTGCCGCCGGTCCACTGAGAGCTGGCTCCCTGCAAGGGTGGGCATCAGTCACACAAGCATGAAGCCAGCACAGGCAGGGGACGGATCCTCGGTGCAGGGAGAGCTTGGGCTGTGAACACAATTCTGGGGCAGGCAGGCCCTGGCCATCGGGAAGCAGGTTCTGCTCAGCCATGCAGCAGATCCCATTTGGGACATGCACCTACACTGCAGGGTGAGCAGGGAGGACACAGGCCCCCTCCGGGAAGGGGCTAGGAGGAGCAGGTGGCCAGAGGAGAGTCTGAACAGAAGTCTAGGCAACATGGGGACTAGGGGCAGCTGAGGAGCTGGGCCTAAGCTTTGGGAAGAAAACAGGAAGGGAGCTGGAGACCAGGCTCCCCCACGGGGGTCCTTGCAATTCCTTTGTGGATAAACCTCTCTCTCATCACTGGGGGCCCGAAGGCAGAGATTCCCAGGGGTTGGGGTGGACCCCCTCAAGGACCAGAGGACACAGAGACGCTCTGTTTCAAGCCAGCATGGCCGGGTGATCTCCAGGGCCCTGGACACAAATGTCAAGAGATCTGGGGTGGATGTGTGTCCATAAGACCAGCACTACCCATCTTTCCAGCAAGGACCACGAGTTATGGAGGTCATAGTCCTGCACCTGGTGGAGACATGGTGGCGGGAACGCAGGGGGTCAGCGCATAAATGCCACTCTTTGTTTAACATAGCGCACAAGGGACCCGGGAAGTTCCATCCCGTAAGTTGTGAGAATTGTGGAGGTGTTATTCAGTCTGCATCTTGGTACCCTAGTCCTGTCAGCCGTCCTTGCCATGAATCATGAAAGCCACGGCGGTCACAGAGACATTTCCACCTTCTCCTAGCTCCTGGGTCCTGCGGGCTTTGCCCCGGCTCGGCCCATTCTGGAAGATGCTGGGTTTGCCTGGCTGAGCGGAGGGAACCCAGGGGCATCTTACCTCCCTTGGTCCAGGCGATGACTGGCTGGGGATAGCCCTTGGCCTCACACTGGAAATCAACCGTCTGACCCTCGATGACCACTCTATCCTGAGGCGTCACAGTGAACTGCGGAAGAGCTTTGAAGGAGAAACATTCTCAGCGGGGCAGTTCGAGACAATGCTGGGTGGAGAGCACATGCAAGAATTAAAATGAAACGAAAAGGCCAGTGTTGTGAGCAGATGCAGACAGGACAGGGTATCTAGCAGAAGCGCATTTTTACAGGAGTAAGGAACACAGAAGAGTAAAACCCCACACCAGGGATGCACAGCTATACATGCAAAAAAAGCTAGAGTGAAGGAATGGTTGGAGGAGGGCGAGCTGTGCAGGGAGCTGAGTTCCACACTTCTGGATTCTTCTAGATCCTCTGGACTTCACACTTCTTGACTTTTCTAGAAACTTACAAGTTCCTTTTTAAGGGAGCTAAATGACTTGGAAATACATAGCCGAAATGTGAAAACCTATTCCTATGCCCAAGTCTGATTTCGGGGACGCAAACTTGGCTGCAGATGAGAGATGACCTTGCACTGATGTGTGTGAACTCCTGCAGAGTTTGTAGGCCAAGACTCAGAGCCCACAGCTAAAGCACAGCCTTGGCCAACACAAGAAAATGCACCTGTATCCAGGTTGCTATGTTTTAGGTCTGATATGTCCCCAAAAGTCTCCTGGGATCAAGGCTTGGGCTTTTGGAAGGTGATGGATCATGGGATGCCATGTTCCTCAGTGGGTCCATCTATGGATGAGTTTATGGCTGATTGTGTTATAGGAAGTGGTCAGTGGGGTGTGACCTGAAGGGTGAACTCTTGTCCCTGGTTCCTCTCTTTTCTCTCTGCTTCCTGGCTGCCATGGAGTGAGCAGCTCTCCTCTGCTAGGCCTTTTTACCATCCCATTTCTCCCTTGGAGCCAGCCAACCATAGACTGAACCCCTTGATCCATGAACCAAAACAAACCTCTCCTTTAGGTTGTGAAGTGAGATATTTTGTCTCAGCGATGGGAAAGACTCATGCACACATGGGATGAGTGTTAATGAAGCAAGTTAAGGGGAACCAAGACAGTGGGCTTGAGGTGGAGCCAAGACAGAAGCTTCTCCATGCATTGTGGTGCTGACACAGTAAGGGAACAGGGCTGGGCGTGCAGCGGTGTCCTGATACCACCCCTGCCGCTCACCTTGTACGATGATGAAGGCTGTGGCATGGATGCTGTCCACACCATTGGACGCGAAGCACGTGTACTCCCCGCTGTCCTCTTGGGCGACGTTCTGTATGTAGAGGCCACCCGAGGGAGTGATGTTCACCCGAGGGTCGGCTGGCAAGGGGGTCCGGTCCCCTCGCGTCCAGGTGATCTGTGGCGCGGGGTGGCCTGTGGTGCTGCACTCTAATGTGACGCTCTCACCCACCAGCACCTCTGTGTTCTGTGGCTGGATCACAAATGCCAGCCTCGCTGTCATGAGCAGAAAGCTTCTGTTAGTTTCCTTTAGTTTTGCAAGGGTTTTGCTTGATACCTTTCTACATTCAGGCTACTCATTCATTCTGTCTTCCTCCAACATAAGCAACAAGAGCAAAATGTGATAGCATTATTTTTCTTTCCTTTCCAAAACGTGTGCAGGCAACAAAAATGATCCATAAGCTGGGTGTGGTGGCACACGCCTCTAATCTCAGCATTCAGGAGGCTGAGGCAGGAGAATAGCTGGGAGTCAGAGGCCAGACTGGGCTACATAGTTTGAGTTCAAGGCCAGACTGAACTGCGCAGTGAGACGCTGCCTCAAAAAGACCTCCCCGCAAAAAATCCAGACTCAGATCAAACAAAGGCAGGCTGCTGGGCATATTAGTGCACATCGGTCATCCCACCACTCTGGGAGACTGAGGCAGGAAGATGGAAAGCTCAAACCCAGCCTGAGCAACTTAGTAAGTTAGTGAGACTGTGTCTCAAAAATTATTAAAAAAAAAAAAAAAAAAAAAAAAAAGGAGCGGGCAACTGGTGAGCAGTACCAGTGGTGAGAAAAAGCTGGATTCCTTCTTTAGACACATACGAGATTCTATGGAGAACTCTTATTTATCCCAAACACATGACATCAGTCTTGTTAAACCTTGCTATTAATTCCTATCAGCACAAAATACTGTTTGTATTATGTATTCAGACCTTATAAAATATCAATTTCATCACAAAAAGAAAAATTATTTTTCAAGTATAAGTCTATGAAAAAAACCCACATGCTTACTAATGTGTTTTATGGCTGAGTTTGTGCAGAAGCAGGCTCTCCCATGCTGACAGCAGGGGTATAAAATGACATGGGCCATCTGGAGAGAGACAGCGTGGACATCACAACTAAACACGCGTACACACTTGCACCCAGAAATCACTCTGCTGGGAACCTAACTCACAGACGTCCTGTAGGCACAGGAGATACCGTAGGTACAAACATCCTTCTTAATCTTACTTTGGTAAAACTACCCTTTATCCACGAGTCTGGTCTCCAGAAAGCTTCAAAAGTCATTATTTTCACACAAAATTTAACCCATGGTGCATGAGGTCAGGTCTTGACTTTATTCCCTTTCCTGTCAATAAACAGCTTGGGGGCAGGGGATACAGCTCAGGAGCACAGTGCCTACCTGGCAAGCATGAGGCCCTGAGTTCGATTCCCAGTCCCAAAAAATAAAAAATGAAAAAACAGCTTGTAGCAGGGCACCGATTTGCTACAGTGCTTACCGGCAGTGTGAGCCAGTAATTAATTACACTTCCCATAACTTTTCTAAGAAACCCCCGCCAAATTTCTGAATTTCAAACGACATCTTGCCCAAGATGCTTTGAATAAAGGATGTACAGGGAGCTATGACAACTAACAATCTGTGAAATATCTAGAAGTACAGTGGTACCTTGGTCCATGAACTTAATTATGTTTCCATGATTCCAGTCACAAACTGAATTGGATGAGAACTGAATCAAATTTCTCCATAAAGTCAACATTGAACCTAACCACTGAATTTGGTTCAGTTCTTATCCAATTCAATTTGCAACCAGATTGGTGGAAATAATTAAGTTCATGAACCAAGGCACCACTCTAGTTACATGAATGATGATTCACCCAGGAGGGACCATAAGAAATCAACATCGGCAGGTGTCCCGGAGAGGGAGGACAGGGTGGGAACTGTGTGGATAGGGCTCAGAGAGTCAGGGTGGAGACTTTTCTGCAGCTTTTTCATTCTGTTAATGTTTAAGTGGTGTTCATCGAATGTCTAACCATCATCAAAAACACAGGCATGACAGTTAATCCCAGCGCTGCTATCACACCGGCACACTAGAGACTGAAGCTACCTGAGACCAGAACAATACCAAAGCTCATCTGCAGAACCTCAGGATTGAACTTTGCTTTGAGGAGCCTTCAGGGTTGCACAGATCAGAACCAAGGCCCAGAGGGGAGTCAAAGAGAGAGCTGCAGCTGAACCCTGCATGGCCCTCACCACCAGGAAGAGGAAGAACTAGAGAGAAAGTGGTCCCCTGGGGAAGTTCTGGTCCTTGCAGGGGTTTGGTACCCATCTCTCCCTAATATCGGGCAAAAGGGTGGTGATCACTAAAGAGTGAGAGTGAGCTGTGAGGGAGGAATAGAAGGGAGAGGAAGAAAGAAGGGGAAGAAGGAAGGAGAGTGAAGGGAGCAAGACAAGACAGAACAAGAGTGTTTTATAGATTAAAAATACACAAAAGCTCCCATAGCACATAACCAAGACAAGGTGACTATATTTTGTAGACAGCGACCGATAGTAACTCTGGACTCCAGTCCTTTAAGAATATATTCTAAAATGGTCTAGGATAGCCACCAACTAACTTCTCAGAGTAGTAGTGGGGAATAGAAGACAAAAAACAATGATTATTTTAAATAATTTAATCTGATCGTCAAAAGTTCAGTTCACCAGCCACTTTGAGGCCTGTTCCCACAGATCTTAGAAACAGGTGATGTGTATTTGGCTGCCCGTGGCCCAGGGAGTCTTACGAGCTGCTCTGCTCCTGTCCTGTGCGACAGGACAGTGCCTTCATGTGGGACAGGGTGGATGAGATCTTTGTGCATGGCCTGAGGATGCACTAGGGGCTGTGTGGGCCACACGCTTAGTGCTGGCGTTTAACTCCACTGCTGCAGAGAGAAAGCACCCCAGATAATACATTAAAAAAAGAGTGTGGTTATGTTCCAATAAAACCTAACTGGGAAACACTCAAAAATCGTTTCACATAATCATCCTGTGCCATCAAATATTCTAAAGGGTTTCAATCATTGCAAAATGTTAAACTCTTCTCAACTCACTGATCTGAGAAGAGGGAGCAGTCAGGCTGCCCCCCACCCTGAGGTTCACGGCCCATCTTAGGGGCTGGGATAGGGCATGCGCCAGGTGCTCAGACTGGCAGCTGACAAGGCTGCTGTTCTTGAGACAGATTCAGATTAAGAGGAGGTAAACACAGAGCTCTGCGATGCAGAGATTGGCCGGACATTCCGCTCAAGAGTCAGTTAACTGCTCACAAAGCAGTTCTCCTAAACGAGCTCATAGCCACAGTCTACCACCGTCTCCTTTGCTTTATGCCAAGTACTCACATCATTATCTTACTACATGCCTGAGTTAGGGATTATTTTATTCCTTAAAGCTGCAGCATGGCCTCCTTCTACAAGCAGGAGCTGCATCTTTGCATGGCTCTGCAGACATTGTAGCTGCCTCGCATGGAACTGTGGAGGGCTATGAGTCTAATGGCTTTGCTTTGGCAGCAGTAACCGCCTCTCGATTTCCTCTGTTAGCTCGGAATGTTCATTCACTACTATGTCTATGATGGGCTGTGGCAGCGTGGCAAAGACCGGACCAGTTTTTAAGGGTTAAGCATTTAAACAAAGGCACAAATACATGGAACCACACACCATGGCCTGAAATATAAAATAGTGGTGACAGCAGCTTTTGAGTGCTTATGCACAGAGCTAAGACCAGCTGGGGCAGGACTGTGGCTCTACAGCTGCATGTGGTCCCCAAGATCCGGCAGGGAACCACAGTGACCCACACTGTTTCGGGGCAGTGAGTGTACAGGCCCACCCTCCTGAATCCTCTGCTGACCACACCAGAAATTGGACCAGAGGGGTCACAGCAGAATTTGTTACCATGTAGAAGGACATGGCCAGAGGTCCCTGCCTGGGACAGACTTTTCCTATTTTTAAAATTACGTGCCAACATTTTGCACAGTGTAACTTTAAATAAAGACCAGTATTTTTATCTTCTTTCAAGGGAACAGAGTCCTCAGCCAACAAAAGCTCACTACCAAGCAGCACTAGCTGAGACCGGGCAGGGTAGGGGGCGGTCAGGGTGTGGGATGCTACCCTGAGCATCCTCATGTGGGGCCACCATGGGTCACCCTGTGGGCCAACCCTGACACAGCAACTTCCCATCCTGGCCCTGTACCTCCTCGTTTCTATCATGAGCGAGCTGGTGGGAAGGGATGGGGCAGAGGACAGTTGGGGCGATCACACACAACACACGCTCCACGTACCTGGAGACCCAAAATACCTTAGGGTCACCTCCTGTGTCTTCACCTCCCCAGCCACGTTCTTGGCCATGCACTGGTAAATGCCCTGGTCAGTCTCCTGCGTGTTCTGGATCATCAGAGTGCCGTCGTCCAGCAGGTTTAAGCGAGAGTCTGCCTGCATGCTCAGCTCATTACTGGAAAGACAGGGTCGGGGTGCTGATAGGAAATGCCTTGTGTACCCTTGGGGGAGGACACGGGAAGGCTGACCTGGCCTCCCAGGGACCTTCCTCCTCTGAACTAGAGGCATTTCTGGGAAAGCGCCTGTGTACCTAGACCTCTACCCGATTTACCCATCCAGTCTGTCCATCTAAATGCTTTACAGTGGTCCTAACTCCAAAGGGGAAAACACCATAAACACAGTGGAAAGAAAATCAAGGAAACGCTCTCCTTTTGAGATGTACAATGCGCTTCCGGTGCTACCTCATTCCATACAACCATGAGGCTGTGGCGTCCAGGTCCCTGCCCCCCAAATCCCTGGATCTTTGCTCTCTGGGGCGGGGGGGTGCTCCTCCTGCACCACAGAGGTGTCACATGTGACACTTTAATCCCTCACTTGTCCCTTGCCTGCCATGTGACGTGGTTTTTGCTCCTTTTGTTGGGAAGCATGCAGTGAGGAGACGGGTGAGGTTTGATGTCCCTCATGAGGGAATAAAAAGCCAGGTCCCAAGGGAGCCACCTAGGAGGGGTGGTCAGTCAGGGAAGCCTCCAGGCACCAGAGCTTGGGACAACAAAGCCGAGTTAAAAACTTTGGCCCGCACCCCCCAGCCCAGGTCAGGCATCGCCTTCCATGCTGGGCACTCCCGTGCCTCAGGTTCCCAAGGTACAGGTAGGGAAAGCCTGGCCCCAGATGCTCCAGCATCATCTGAACCCTTTTCCCCATGACACAGAAACCACCTGGACGTCCCCCAGCAGAGGGACACAGGTGGGCGGGCAGCAGAGCCAGCACTGGAGGTCGGGCTCAGGGCTTCAGCACTAGGTCTGCCACACTTGGTTCTCAGACCTCAAAGTTACAAGACAGTGAGGTCTCTGAAGACTCGATGGCACCTCCCATCTCCCCTGCACAGCCCTCATCCAAGGTCAGGGTGACCTTGTGTGCTGGCACTAGCTCTGAGGTCTCTGCAGGTTGATGCACCTTTAGCCTGTGTGTCCCTAGCTCTCTAATGCCACTGGGCAGTTCCCAAGGTCATCTCCGCAGCACCGCTGAGCTGAGACCAGCATCTGCTCTGGGACTCGGCCCTCGTGGGAGGGGCAGGGGATGGGGTCAGTGTCTGAACGGCTGACCACCCTGTTGGGTGATGGGACCTTAGATGTCCCCGTGACCCAACTCCACTTCTCCCAGGTCTCTGTCTCCAACCCTGTCGTCACATGACACACTGGGGAGGGCAGGTCCTCGGGGTGTTGGCTACGGTCACCTGGCCCGCGTCCAGAGCCAGCTTACACTAGAATCCTCTGTTGATAGGGAAGCCTCCCCTAGCTCCTCTTGGCTGAGTGCTGTGAGGGACCAGGGCTGGAAGGGTCTCCGGTACATGGGCTGGGGACAGGGAGTGTCCCCTGTCCTGCTGTCATGTAGAACGGGGAAGCCAGCGTCCCCATTTAACCTTCCCCACCTGGGAGGAGGGTGCTGAGACACAGCGGGGCGCATGGGTGCTGAGATGGGCCTCCTGCGTCCCAGCGACCTCTGGCTGCTGCTCCGCTCCATGCCGAGCTTACTTGTTCCGGAGCCAGATGATCTCAGGCTTGGGGTTGCCCTCGGCCCTGCAGGTGAAGTACACTGTGTTCCCCGAAGTGACGTCTGCGTCCTGTGGCTCCGATGTGATCCGGGGCCTTTCTGTATCCAATGAGGAAAGGAGACTTTGTTAGTTTAAACTGCGAAGGGAGCGGACGTGAGAACCCAGGCCAAACCTCGTGGTCAAGACAAAACCAGACCATCCAGGCCCATCTCGGACACAAACCTCCCCACGGAGACTGTCCTATGGCACAGACCCCCATTCTTCTTCATCTCGGGGTACAGCCTTGGGGGCAGCACAGACCAGACCTAGCAGACTCCAAGGTCACTCCACGCCCTTGGGAACAACGCCAGTGCTGTGTGGATGCCACACTCGCTCTCCCCAGGAACCAAGAGAGGAACCTTGAACAGTGTGTCTCTTTGGGGGATGAGTCCTCCCAAAAGCAGAGGCCTGGCGCTGAGGCTCCAGGCCTCCACCTACCCCTCGTGGAGCGTGCATCCCTCCTGTCAACCTCCCCATCCCAATCACTCCTACGATGGCTTCCAGCCTCTAGGGAGGGTCAGTGTGAAGTCTCAGCTTGACCACCTGGTCACTCCCAGGCCACCACTGTCTGCCACATGTGCTGTGAGTACTGAAAAGAAAGCACAAACATGCACACGAGCACGTACATGCACATGCATGTGCAGCGCCTTGCACAGGAGCTGATATAGGTGCAAGGCGCAGCCATCACTGCTAGGATTGCTAGAAAGATGGTTCCAACGGACAGGTGCTCCTCCAAGACGGGCCGAGAACGGCTCACCTTGCACACTCAGACCACAGCCTGCTGGATACTGTGGGAAGTCTGTCCAGCATAGGGTGCAGAAAGTGAAGCCGCAGCGGACAGGTGATCTAGGGCTGGGGATCCAGAGACATAGACCACAGACACCAAGGGAACAAACGCTCATGCTAGGGGCAGCCTGCAATTAATGGCACAAAAGCCAGTCCCCTCTCCACACAAGGAGACTGAAAAATGTATGTCCCGTTATCAGTGGGGTCCTCTCGAAATGTACTGATTTTTAACTTTATTTTGTTTTTCCGGTCTTTTTGTTGTTGTTGGTTTCGAGAATCAAACCTGGGGCCTCACGCTTTCCAGGCAGGTGCTGTACCACTGAGCTACATCCCTGATTAGCTTTCATTCATGTTGTTTTTATATTAAAAATATTAACGATTCTTTGGACAAAGAACTGAAAAATTTTGGGGGGCTGCCCTTGAACTCATGATGACCCTAACTTGGCCTCCCAAGTGCTGGAAATACAGGTGTGCACTACTATGCCTAGCACTGAAAAATTAATGTCTGTGCCAAAACAAAAAAAAACAACAACAAAAAACAAATTAAAAGAGGAAGCTGAACAACGATTTGGATTTGGGCATTTAAAAGGAAGACTGTACCCTGTAGTCTGACTTGGCCTTGTTCTTTCTCTCTGGATAAGTTTTACAGGGGGGTTATCACACTCCTAATGGCATGTGGCCAGCCCCCAGCTAGCCCCTCACGTCCATTTCTGGTGAGCCCCCCAAGGGCTGCCCCAGAGTCACCGATCTGCCCCGCCCTCTCAGCTGGGCCAGGTCAGGAAGCTGTAGCCTGGGCACAGCGGGCACAGCTGGCAACCTGAAACAAAACCTAGGCTGGGAGCGATGGTCGAATAGTTTCTCAGACACTAGAGCCAGCCCCACAAGCAGAGTCCTTCCTTGTCTCCCGGGCCCCAAGGCCTGGCTTTTAGAAGACTTGGCCTGTGGTGGCTGAAGATGCACACCAGGCTCTCTGTACCACCAACCCGGGGACAAGCCTGGCTTCTCACCACAGTTTAGCTCCTCGGGGGTGATGGTGGCCACTGAGCGGCCTTGGATGCGTCTGGGGGACTCGCAGGTAGCTGCCGCCTGTGCGTTCCCCGACTGGGCGTATGTCTTCAGCAGATCTGCCAGCCACAGGATCTCACAGTCGCAGTGAAGCGTGTTGGAGTCCAGCCGCCTGGGGAGGGGGGCAGCCAGTGAGACCCAGGAGTCATGAGGGCCCAAGGTGCCTGGCGGGCCATGGGTCCTGGACACACGCGCTGGGCCCACTAAGCACTGGGTTCCCAGCACGGAGCCTGAAACCAGGTCAGGCTCTGAGCTCAAATCGGAGGCAAGTGTGGACTGGGCAAGTTGGCGAAGTTCCTGCAAATCAGTGGTAAAGGCGCAACCCACAAAGCCTCCCCGTTGCTGGACTCTCATCACCCCCGGGGACTGTAGGGTCCCCATCATCTCAGTCCCCACAGGTCACAGAGGGGAAACGAGATGGCAGGGTGTGTCCCCTGTGGGGTGAGGTCCAGGGCCCCTGAAGCTTCTGGGCTCCTCTAAAGCCTGGCACTGACTGACTCAGCAGAGACACGACATTCCTGCACCCTGGGAAAGGAGTCGGAAGGGGGCCGGGGGACCCAGGTGGGAACACCTGGTACCACCACTTGTGCACCCTGCCCAGACCGCTGAGAGCCCAGCAGGGATTTGCCCAGGTTATCAGGTCGGGGGTCAGGTCCACACTCCAGGCCCACAGCCCCGGAAGACCACACACCCATCTGTCTTTCTCTAGGACATTAGCTCAGCAAGGATCAGGACACAGGCCTGGCCTGGCCATAGGCCTCTTCCAGCAAACAGGTAGCATCTCTGTGCGGACAGGATGCAGTTCCAGAAGGCAGAGGCCACCAGAGGATGGGACAGCCAACAGCCAGGGCACCAGCATGTGACCCACTGTACTATGGCTGAGTCCCAGATCCTGATGGTCAGTTCAGGGGCAGGGGTGGACGGCCAGGTAGGCAGCACCCAGCCAGTCCTGCCTGCCCCACAAGCCCATGGAGGGACACAACCACTGCGCTCGGAAAGAGGGGATTTCAGTGAGGCCTCCAGGGCTTGGGGCTTGGAGACCTCTCTGGCCGGATGGTGGCTGGGCAGTGTGGCAGATCTGCCACTGAGTCCAAATTAGGGTCCCATTTGAGCAACAGAGTGAGCAAACAGTGGGAGGACGGTTTCAGGGTGGACGGCAGGCCCCATCTGAAAGGGCTCTTAGCAGGCACCCAGGAGGAGCTGGGAACAGACAGCTGTGAGCTGATGCAGCCCGAGTCCCGCCCTCTGCCTGAGCTGGGCTTGGCTATTTTCTATTTATCTGGCAATTTCTTTCTCCTCCTCTTATCTGTCAAACATGGAAGTATTTGTCCTATCTTCCACGTAGCGTGCAGATCTTAGTTTGGCTGGTGATTTTATTTTTTTAATCGAAAGAAGAAAACTATACAAAGGTCTATGCCTTACTCCACTTTATCTCACTGAAGAGAGAAAACAGACACACACAAGTTGCTCAGGAAGGGCGACAGCTTCTCTGGGTCTTGTGTCTGGGTCCAGGTCATCACTGATGCTGGACTGTGCCACATCTAGCTGAGAAATGTGCCTTCAAGACCTTAGGGAAGGCACAGCTGTCAAGTAACTTCTCCATCAGCACCCAAATGCCTGGAGTCTATTAAAGAATGTCTTGATATAAAAAAGATCACTTGGGGGCCTGGAAAACAAAGGATCAGGCTTCATTTAGTGGGCCGCAGTCTGAGTCAAGGAACAGAAGAAGGAGGAGGAGACTGTAGACAGAGCCCATTTCCACCCATGAAATGCACGCTATGGAATTAGAAGCTCATGTGAGGAACTGAAAGGTAATTTTGAAGGTCTTAGCTGCCCACTAAAGGCTTAGCTTCTTCTCCTATTCTCAGTCACCTGCTCGCCTTCTTGCATGAGAACGGATTTAAGTTGTACTCGGACTCTTTCCTAAAATTTTCCTGACCCTAGAAATACTTCCCAGCGCCCAGCAGAGAGATGCCAGTGGGTGTCTAACAGATTCCTAGCAAAGCTACACAGCAAGGGGTATACTCACAGTCTCTTCATAGATTCCAGGTGATTAAATGTTCCTGGGACTAAATGTGTAATCCGGTTGTTATGTAAAAATCTGTCAAAAGAGATAACACAAACCAATTCTTAAAAAATACTTCTTAGGCAAACCAGAGTGCGAGCAGTCAAATACATCAGCTTTTTAAAAATACCTTGCTGCCAGGGATATAGCTCAGCGGCACAGAGCCTGCCTAGCAAGTGCAAGGTCCTGAGTTCGAGTCCCGGTATTTAAAAAAAAAAAAAACCCAAAAATCTTGCTGGTTACATCGATTGCATGTGTGTGAATTTGGAAACTGGACTCTTTTAGGCCAGAAAAATAAGGATATTTTTGTTGTTGCTGATCAGGTACTGGGATTGAACCTAGGGGCCACTGAGCTACCTCCCCAGTTGTTTTTTTTGTTTTGGTGTGGCTGGGGATCAAACCCAGGGCCTTGTGCATGCAAGGCAAGAGCCCTACCACTGAGCCCCACCCCCAGTCCCTAGTATACTTTTAATTTTATCACCGTGTCCATATAAAGAGAAAATTGCAAGTCTGCCTTCTGACCTGTTAAGCCAGAAAGGCAGGTTTTTATGCCCAAACTCCTTGCAGGCCTCTAGCACCTGCTGTCCTGACTCCATCAAAGCCACGAGTGTACTGGGCCCAGGACTGAAAAATACAAAACTAAAGAACACAAAGCAACTCACAGTCTTTCAAGCTTCGGTAAGTGTTGAAATGAATCTGGGTCCAGAGTTTCTATTTGATTAAAGTGCAGGTACCTAGAGGAGTTTAAAAAAAACAAACAAAATGATTTAAACAATTTAATAACCTTTTCAGGCCCAGATCTTCCACTTATAAAGCTTTTTTCAGGTCACTCATACTCATATGTCAACAGGTAACTGTACATACATGACACTGTGGAGAGCAACAAACAGGAAGACTAAAAACACCTGAAACTGGGCACAGACATATGACCACACACTGTGACATGTGGGAAACACGAGTCTGGACACGGACCAGGTCTCTGGTCCCACGACAGACCCCAGGGACACGATGGTGGCCCAGCCCTGACACACTCACTACAAAACACAAGGAAACTGAACAACACAGCTGAAGACACAGCTTCAAAGACCACATATCATTTTGGACACAAATCCCTGCCCTCGTATCTTCTAGCTGCCTCGTGGGCCCAGCAGGGTCATGGTCCTGAATCACATGCTGTGTGCGTGTCAGACAAACGGACAGCACAGGAGACTTAGAGATACACCACCGAGAGACACAGGATCATGTCCCCCAGGACCTCCTCTGTCACATAAAACATGAGTCTACGGCTCTTTTCTCTGAAAACTGGCAGAGTCAAACACTGCATGGGCTTTCTGGCTGGAAATCTCAGCAGGGACCTGGGTGCCCTGGTGATGCCCAAGGTCTCCTTCAAAGAGACCAGAGGAGCAGCAGAACCAGTGTGTAGCATTGGGGTTCCCACATACCCAACACAAGCACTGCTCCCAACCTTGTGCTCCTGACAGCTCTCGCTAACACTGACATCGCTGCCTGTCACTTCCGTGTCCCCAAACTTTGACTCCATCCCCTGGTAAAACCTGCTCGGGGCCCTTCCACTGGCGGGCCCAGGGCACAGAGGCAGGTGGTTGTCCTCAGGGACACAGGGCTCCTCGGGGACCAGGCTGTCTGGAGCAGGGGGTGTGCCACCAGGAGGGAATGGAGCGGGGCAAACAGGGGCTGCGTCTGACCTAAAGATCCCAAAGGAGACGGATGACAGTGTCCTCAGGCTCCATTGTGGGGCCCATCTGTGCCAGGCTGCTGGGGCTGGGGGCGACAGAGGAGGGAAAAGGTAAACACACAAGCCCCAGGGAGAGTGGTTTAGCCTGAAATCCCTTCCACCTGACCAGGAAGGCAGCTGACAGGAGGAGATCACAGGCACTAGGGATGCCAGTAGTGGGGGTCCATAGCACCCTGGAGAAGCTGGGCTACGGTGTGGTCACCACCACACCACCGTGGAGGACAGGAAGACACTCTGCAAGAGCCCAGGGTCACTGCTGAATTCAGACCTGGGCTCCGACTTTGGTCTGGCAAGCTCCCTCTCTGCCCCCACCCCTGGGGATTGAATCCAGGGCCTTTGCACTCAGCTACACTCCAGCTCTTTTTATTTTTTGAGACACTGTCTTGCTCAGTTGTCCAGCTGAGTTCAAACTGATGACCCTCCTGCCTCAGCCTCTCACAGTGCCAGAAGCTTCCTGCTTCTGAGCCTCCCCAGCAGGATCTGTTTTTCTAACATTACAGCCAGAGAGGGGGTCTAAGTTTCCCCAAATCAGCAGGGGCTGCCCCTGGCCACAGATGGTGCCTGAGGCCTCTGGGGTTGATCTCTCCCCACAGTGCCAGATGAGGTCCTATCACCTGGATGCCCGTATCCTAGAGTGGGGACCCCATGCTCTTGCCCAGGCTTCACAGGCAGCCACCGCCTGGGCACATGGTCCTATCACCATGTGTGCGGGCAGAGCCCACGGGGTCCCTTGCAAATGCCTGCCCTCCTTCTCTCATACTGTGCTCAACAAGGCCCAAGAGCACGGGGGCAGGGGACTCTGTACTGCACGGGGCGCAGGGCTGTAATCCACATCCTGCGAAGTGCACCTGCAACTGGGGCATAGCTCAGTGGTGCAGCACTTGCCTAGCATGCCCGAGGCCTGGGCTCAAGTCCTTAACCACCAAAGAAGCGCCTGCTGCCCTAGGTTGTCTGTGCCCCGGGTCTGAATGTTCCCCAGGCCTGAGCACTGCTGCCCCACCCGCTCTGTGCATAGAGGACTCAGCGTCTTTCGGATGATCACGGTGGGTGGGGGGCACAGACCGACAGGCCAGCACGTGGCCCTTTTCCGTCCATAAATAAAACCACAGAGACCTGAAGACGCCCGGGGTGAGCCTGGCAAACAACCAAGGAAAAAGCCCTTTGTTTCACCAGAACTTTCTATCGCATAGTCTACACTCTGGCTTCATAGCAAAGCACAACTTTGGGCGTAGCCAAACAGCACGGTGTGCTTGGCCCCAGTTACACCAACCCTGCCAACCTGGAGCACACGGCGGGACAGAGCTGGTATGACACGACTGCAGAAGACATTAAACCTCATGTGCAAGAGTCACCAAGAGGACATGGCGTGTGAGGGACACAGCCTCACGCAGCCCCGGACACCACTGGCATGGGAGGTTTTACTTGGGCTTCCCAGTTTGCATGTGTGCTCCATGAAAACGTGAGCCCCACAGGTTTTCTGGTTTGTCTGTTCACTTGTTTGTTTTTTGCACTACGGGGGACTGAACCCAGGGTTTTTGCACTGAGCTCCATCCCCCGCCCTTTTCTATTTTGAGACAGGGTCTCACTAATTCACTGAGTTGCCCAGGCTGTGCTGGAACTTGGAATCTTCCTGCCTCAGCTTCCCAGAGTGTTGGGATTATGGGCATGTGCCATCATGTCTGGCCAGCATTACAGTTTTTAGCATGAGACAGGGAGCCAATCGATGACTGTTCTTGGAATGCTGAATGCATGGCCTAGGGTCAGGTGCATAGAAAAAACCCAGTAAGTGCCGTGGGGAGGACACAGAGTGGACCCGTGAGAGGGGAGAGAGGGGCACGAGTGACTGGCCCGGGGCGCTTTCCATGTCCATGCACAGCCTCCCTGCACCCGGCCGCTGCGGACATGCATCATGCAGCAGCACACTGCGTCCACCTCTCCTGCGGGAGGCAAAGCGGGCACGGGAGACGAGGCACACTTACAGTTGCTCTAGGGAGGCAAGTCCCTTAAACGCTTGCCTGTCAATTGACTGGATCTCATTCTTGTACAAATAGCTGAAACAAGAAACACGGAAGAGGGTTAGCACACACACGCGAGGCCGCACTTCCCACGGACAGGAAGAGCTGCGTGGACAGGTGGAGATGTTTCCAATTCACAACTGCACTGGAGCAGCCAGAACGGGACACGGCAGCCCCGGCTGCTCCGCAGGCCCCTCCCTGCCCTCCCTAGCAGGGCGAATGCAAGGTGGCTGGCGTGGGGCCGCTCTGGGGCCCGGAGAACACAAACCACTCCTCACGCGCGTGTACGAGGCACTGACTGTAAGATTACACTGACACAGTTCTAAAGATGGGGCAGAGACAGCGGGAGCCTGGGGGTGTCCTGAATGCCCCCCCTTATAAAATGTGACTATCAGAAGAGACACAAGACTGGCCCATGACCTGTGTGCACACAGCCTGCAAAGTGAAAATGGACTTTACAGTTTTAATCAGTATATGTCTATTGTTGAACGGATAAAGAAAATGTGGTATTTACACACAATGGAGTACTACTCTGCCATAAAGAAGGATAAACTTGAGCTATTTGTAGGAAAATGGATGCACCTTGAGGTCGTAATGTTAAGGGAAATAAATCAGACGCATAAGCCCAAATATCATATAGTTTTGCTTATATGAGAAACCCAAAGTATATGAAATTCATATTTTAGAGTCCATAGAAGTTTCACTGGAACATGATGGACACACTCATCCTTCCATGTCTTGTGTCTGGCTAGGCTTGCACTACGGAGCATCAGGGTGGCTGTGGCATGTGGAGCCTCACACATCCCCCCTGGTCCTTTCTGGAGGAAGCCTGCATGCCCCGCACTGACCATGGCAGGCAAAGGCACCTAGTCCCCGCAAGACTCTGGGAGATACCAGCGCGCGGGCAGCCGCTCCCTCCTGATGCTTCCAGTGTCGCATCACTTCTGGAAAGGCCAAGTGTGTCACTGCACTGTCACTGATGTCTGGCACAGGACCCAGTTTAGTGGGACCCGCTCTGCTCCCTGTAAGTGCTGCAGCCTGTCTCAGTGCTTCTCTCTGCACAGACTCACTGAGGCGGCCTCAGAGACTTGCAGGCCATAACACATGCTGGCCAGGACACCCTGTGGTCTGCAGCACAGCACCCACAACACAGCCCTGCAGGTAGTTAGCTCCCCAGCCTGCTGGAGGCCCCCCTTGCTGCCTGTGTGACCATGGGCTAGAGTTCAACCTTTCTGTGCCTCAGTCTTCTCTTCTGCAAAATGGGATCACACACCTCATAGGAAGCTCCTGGAATGTGACCCTGGACACAGTGACTGTGGTTTAGTGAGTTACTACTACTTCCTCTGTGGAAGGTTCAGTCTGGATGGAGGAGGGCTCTGTGCCTATTTCTTAAAACAAAATGTCAGTGAGAATGTTGCTCTGCCTGAGCTTATAGCAATGAGGAAGGCAGGAATCCTTCGGAAGGATGTGTGACACATGAGACTCAAGGCAGGTGCATGCGTGTACCCCCGGAGCGACAGCGGAGCAAGGTTGGTTTTCATGCCAGCTCTAAGAAGGTTTCTAATAATACACTGTAATTTTCCACTTGACCACAGAGTTGACCCTTTGCTGATTCTCCAGAACCAATGTCACCACCAGGAAACCTGAATCAAGGGGAATCAAGGGGAAGGCTCCTCTCCTGTTGGAAGGAAGTGGGGTCCCAGGGAATGAGAACTCTCCAACTTCTAAACATAAACTTCAGCCCTGACCGCAAACACAAGGCTGAGGTAACACAGATTTCAGAAGAGGCGCGTGCGTGTGTGTGTGCACACATGCGTGTGTGCACATGTATGTGTGTGAGAATGCGCATGCATGTACGGTGCTGCAGACTGAGCACAGGGTCTTGCACACGCTGAGCAAGGGCTCCACCACTCAGCCTCATGCACGGCCTCAGAAGAGTTCTTAACACTGAAAACCCCACTATGCTGATTACCCAAATGCGTTCTACGAGGGGACCCGGATGCCACCTTCCTCCCAGGATGATCCTCATCCCATCTGTGTCCTGAAGGAGAGAGGGAGGGGTCAAAGCAGGGATGGTCAGAGCAAGTGGTCAACAGTGGGGTTGGCAGGTATTATTTAGCTGAGTGTGGTGGCACATGCCTGTGATCCCAGCTCTCAGGAAGCTGAGGCAGGAAGATCACTCGGAGTTCAAGGCTAGTCCAGGCTACATAGTGAGTTAAGGACCAGCCTGAACTATATAGTTGAGACCCTGTCTCAAAAAACAAAACAAAACAAAACAGAAAAAAATGATGCCCCAAACTTTCTAATATGAATGAACTAGCATAGTACACAAGCTGCTCTTAATTGATTTAAAACCAAGAGCAACAAATGAAAAAGTCACACACATGCACTCTCCCACACACACACACACACACACTGAATGCTGGCTATCATCTAACTGCATCTACTATCTAGGAAACCAAAGCTTCCTTCTGGAATTTACACAGCACTTAAAATAACAACCACAATGAGAGATAAACACACAAACACACACTCAGAATAAACAGAAAGTTGGCCTTACATTTTAAAAATCAGTAACAAGGCTTAGTGACATTCATGCAATAAAGATTAGCATTCTATGCCAAAAGATGACAGAAAGAAAGTTTATACATAACATTTTCATTGAGGAAAATATATTTTCATAAAGTACAAGGCAGTCTGTAACTAGGAGCCACTGAAACATCTAAAATCAAAGTGGATTTTAAGATATACATCAGCACTAAAAACTGCTATGGGGCCGTGGATATAGCTCAGTGGTACAAGCACCTGCCTGGCAAGTGCAGGTCCTGAGTACGTTTTCTGGTACTCAGGTACCAATTTCTGGTACCAAAAAAAAAAAAAGCTGTGTTTTAAAAATCAGCTTAAAGATATGTAAATTCAATTATAATATAAATTTCTAGTAAATTTATATCGTTAGAAATGGCTCTCTTTGGAAAGCTACCTATGACCTAAAAAGAATAGCAATTTGCTAAATCCAAGGGACACATACCTCTAGCTTGTGTAGACTCAGGATGTTATCTATGCAACCTCAATGTCTCCTCAAATCCTTCCCAGTTTAAAATAAATGCACAGGAAGGGTACTAAACCAGTGCTTTTCAAAAGAAGTCCTTTTCTTTTCTTTTTTGAGACAAGGTCTCACTATGTAGTTCAGCTGGCTTTGAACTCACTATGCAGCCCAGGCTGGCCTTGAACTCTCAGGGATCTTCCTGCCTCAGCCTCTTGAATGCTGAGACTACAGGTGTACGCCACCACACTCAGCAGGAAGTCCTTTTCTAAACTACAAAACTAACTTCAACAAGTAGATGTTCTGGATAATGAATTAAAGCTGATTTTTTAAAAAATAAAGTTTAACTAGATAAAAAGAGATAAAATCAGGGGAAGATAAGAATTAGCAGGAAGTGATGATATTCCAGGAAAATGAACACCTCTCATTGTGTGCTCCTACAGCTGGAAGGAGAAGGCTTATGTTCTGTAGCGAGCAGATTGGCTAGGCATCACTGATCACACTGGCATTTTCTGTCCCCAAAAGTATCACTGTCACTAGGTTCATGGTTACTGCACCTAGCACCTCTTACACAAGACTTAGTGACTCTACATGGTCACAGAACATGGCACTTTATCCTGGTGACAGCCCCCTTTAAACTCCCAGCGAAATTCCACTCACCTTCTGGAAATAAAGTTCCTGGGATGAAGCCTGTATAGAAAGCCATACACTGCACACATGGCGAGGTCACACCCCATATTATATGCACAGAGAAAGAATGATCGTCAACTTACAGATACTTCAAATTCTCCAAGTCCTCAAATGCGCCGCTGGGTATCCGCTTGATCTGATTGTTGTTGAGAAGCCTAAGAAAGAAAGGGTGACAGGACTTCAAAACAGAACACTGCTCAGAGGTACTAAAGACAAACTTTCCAACAACTGTGGAGACCACAAAATAACCGAGCCATAGAGCCTGGATCACCATCGCTAAGCACCAAGATGACCCAAGAAACCATGGTGTGTGACCCTTGGGGTTGACAGATTTCCCCAGGATGAGTTTCCACTTATTTCACATTTTCCACCTTCTTATAGAAAAAAATCCTCTCTCCTGTATAAATAAGTATACAGTTTTGCCCTGAAATCTGATTTCCCACTGTAGGTAAGATTGGACCACTCTGCAGCAACCCTGGAAGCCACACTAAAGGAGTCACTCAACACCCACACCATTGGTTCCCATGGATAACAGAAATGGTGTCCAGAGCCACCACTCCCCCTGCCTTCCATGGGCCTACTTGGTTGGTTCCTGTCTCTGCCTTCCTGCAGGAGGCCAAGTAGTGAGTCCTGGTGCTGAGGACAAATCTGTTTCTGGTGGTGCTAAGTGTGCTCAGGGAGGTGCAGGTCCAGGTCTGTGGCAGAACTGGGTGGACTGAAGACCTGCCGCATCCACACTGAGCACAGCAGAAGCCCCATCCCACTCCCTCTCACAACAGAAGGAGAGCAGCCCTGGCCCAGCAAGCAAACAAGGGTCTTGGGAGTGATCACCAGCCTGGGCCAAGGCATGAGCTGTCATGTTACAGGACCTCACTCCAAGGGGACTGAGCACACAAACGGCACCCAGCTCCATGGCCCCTGGCCACGCATGCTCAACGGCGGCTCAGATGTGACCACAGCGGTCAATGGCCTGCAGGGGACTGCAGTGATAGCTTCCATTTATCCTTTCTCTATGGGTTCCCCATCCAAAGTTTCAACTTACAGTGTGTTCAAGTTTCTCAGCCGCCTGAATGCCCCGGGTTGGATCTCTCTAATTCTGTTAAAGCGAAGGTCCCTGCAAAGAAACAAGAAATGTGTTTGTATGAGAGAAAGGCATTTTCAAAATGAGGTGTTTAAAAAAATTCAATCACTCAGGATATGCCCTGGATGATCCCTTGTCTCTGTGTGAATATTTATCTGAATGACAAAAAACCAAAGAAATCTGATTAAATAGTAAAGTGTGAGGTGATAAAATTACAAGACCTACACAGCCCACCTCTGGCTGACACATTAGAAACTACTGTCAGGAAGTCTCAGGATGATGCACACAGATGAAAGGTCTGCCGATGTTCCAGAAGGAAGTCACGCTTGCTCTGAAATGTGCCGACACTTGTCCAGCACAGTGACCATTTCATGAGCTGGAATTTTGCTGCTCCTCACTACTTTGCAGTGTCACCTCTATAGAGCTCAGACAGGAAGTCTATAACCACAGATGGGCAAACTTTATGTCCACAACTACATACAGGCAGACCAGATGCCCCATAACCACACATTAGTAGACTTGATGTCCTATGACCACAGATGGGTAGACCAGATGTCATAACCAAAGATGGACAAACAGGATGTCCGTGACCACAGATAGACCAGATGTCCATAACTACAGATGGGCAGACCAGATGCCCCCATAAGCACACATTAGCAGACTTGATGTCCCATAATCACAAATGAGAGACCAGAATGTCCCCATAACCACAGAGGGGTAGACCAGATGTCCATAACGTAAGATGGACAAACTGGGAGTCTATTCCCAGAGAAGGGAGGACCGGATGTCCTGTAACAACAAGCCAGTTCAGCAGGTGAGTTGGGAAAGTGACGCTAACATTTGGGCTTTGACCCCATGTTTCCAAACAGGCATTCTGAGGGATGGGACTTGAGAGACCGGGAGGTGGGGAGGTAGGGGGTTTGGGGGATGTGACAGAATCATCTCAAGCTGGCTCCACAGGGGAAAGGCTTTGAGTTCAGGGGAGCTGGTGCTCAGCAGAGGGGACCTGGGGACAAATCTAGGGACAAGATAGGATCAATGTCAAAGTCCTAAAGGGAACCCTGCAGGGAAGACGTCAGGCTGTCTCCAGTTTGAGTGAAATACTACATTCAATATGTGTGAAAATCATTGGGAAAACAAACAGAAGACTTAGTCTTCATTGGGCAGTCACAGAAAAATTTAAATTCCTTACTCAGAGAGCAGTGAGAATGGTTAGGGGTTGGACTTTGTCTCCCCTAAACTCACATCCTGAAGCCCTCCCCGCTGTGCCTCAGGATTCAGCCTTGTTTGGAGATAAGACCTGAACAGAAGTGACCAAGTTGACAGGATGAGCTGTGTCCTTAAAAGGGGAAAGTGGAGACAGAGACACAGGGACTGGGCCAGGAGGAGAGCGCGACAGACCAGGGCGCTGTACTGAAGCCCGGGAGCCATAGCTGGGAGCGGCCGGGACAGCCTGTCAGAGCCAAGGCAGGGGCCGGCCTGGGACTCCGGTTCTGAGGGCGTCAGGCTCGCATCCTGGGAAGCCACAAGATTCCTGGCACTTTGCTCTGAGCCCAGGGAAAGTGAGTTGGGATCCTGAGGCAACATGTGGTGGCAATCAGGAATGGCTGTTTCTCATAGGACATTTTCCGAACTCTGGAACCACTCGAGGTCTTTTCAGGAACCTGGTTCTCTGCAGCCACTTTAATCACTGACGGTGATTTACATAATTGGCTCTAGTTACTGCTCAATATGACACTTCTCAGAAAGTATTGGTTTGAGCCACTAACACAAACTGTTTAGCTGAGGGGGCCATAAAAGAAAGGGGGCCAAGGTCTTCGAACAGGAAGGAGTGGTGGAGATCTTCCCTTTCTGCGCCCCAGCACCCCGGCCTCCTTCCGTGGCACGCTGCCCTCCGCCCTGCATTTCCTTCTTTGCTGGTTCTCACTGTCTGTTGAGATGCTGTCCCCACACTCTGCTCAGACCAGACTGCTTTGACTAAATGGGGTCTTAATTCACAATTATGTTCAGAGCCCCTGGGGCTGTGCTGAAAGTTAGAAGCACCGAAAGAAGACAGGAGTGGAGGAACGGATGAAGGGCTCAGATTGTGTTGGGGCAGATGACGGGAGGAGGGCAAAGATGGAAGTGGAAGAGTGGAGATTTAGGCCCGAGGAAATTACTTGGCTAACCAGAAGCTAAGCTGGGTGATTCTCTTCCTAGCGCTTGTCGGTGGCAGAAACAGAGAGGCAGTTGTTATCCGCCCAGCTCCGGAGCAGCCCTGCTCCCACTAGACGTTCAGGAGGCTTCGGATCCCATAGTCCCAGGCACTTACTCTCAGGGTTCTCCAAGAGAGATGCCTGGGATACCCAGGAAAGATGCAGTGAGAGTTTCCCAAATCTGGGTCTAAGCAACACAACTCAGGTCAATTTATAGTTCTTACTTAAAAAGCTGGCAAGAAGTTTTAGGGGGTTTGCACTGTTGTGTTTTTCATATTTCTATTACTCTAAATTCCTGATGGAGCCACAACACCTACTGGAAGAAGAAGACATTGTCAAGCTTTGTAGCTGAGGAAGAAGCAGCAAAGTACAGGTTTCTAGTCAAGATCACAATCGTAATTCTTTACAGAGCTGCAGAATAAAAGCCTAGTTAAGATATTTTAACCTCCTGCAGAGTAATGTAAGACGCACAGGCCACGCAACGCCATTTAATCATGGAAGAGTCTCTATGGAGAAAAACATCATCATCTTTAATGATGTTATGTCTAAAATAAGATAATCTTTGATTTTTTCCACATGTTAAGTGATGTGTTCTGTTTTTGCTTTTGAGATGGGGTCTCACTTTGTAGTGCAGGCTGGCTTTGAGTTCACCATATGGCCCAGGCTGGCCTTGAACTCACAGCAATCCTCTTGCCTCAGTCTCCCAAGTGCTGGGATTACAAGTGTGCACCACCACGCCTGGCCAAAAGGGATGTTTTAATTTACTTTTAAGCAAAGATGATTTAGCATCAAATTCAACATCACAAATCCATGCTGTGTGGTTTGAAAGCCATATGTATTTTGATTGTAGACAGAAAATGTAACCACACAGAAGGTACTCATAAGCTATGAAGGACACTCGTACTTGTTGATTTCATGGGGGGGCGGTCTCCTTGTTTGTTTGGGTTTTTTTGGTACTTGGGGACCTATTTCTCACTAAGGAGACAAAAGGCCACTTGCAGATTTCTCTCTGCAAACAAGACATTTCAGAGGTGAACTGACTCTCTTCTCCTTGTCTTTCACTCACTACCTTCTTTCAATAATCTGGACTTTTGAAAAAAGTACTCTGGGCATCATTATACATTATGTAAGATTGCCATTCATGACTGGATCCCACGGGTGAAAAACCGGGAAACCTATTGCAGAATCACCCTCATTTTGATGCTTCTCATTAGTACCGAGAATTTCTGCATGGCTGCTTCAGCCAGAGGCCAAGTGACAGCCTCGGGCACTGCTCTAATGAGTCTGTAGTCCAGCAGGAGGGCACCCCCAGTATGTCCTGAAGGCCTCAGCCTCTGCTCCACTCCAGAGGGGAAATCAGTCTTAAATATATATAGTCTTTATTTGTGTGACTGGAGTTGAACTCAGAGCCTTTCCACTGACCTACTTCCCCCTTTTTTTATTTTTTATTTTGAATCAGTGTCTTGCTGAATCACTAAGCTACCCAGGCTGGGCTGGACCTTGTGATCCTCTTGCCTCACCTCCCAGGGTGCTGGGATGACTACCACACCTCCCTTAAAAATGAACTATGAAGAGTCAGGCATAGTGGTATATTCCTGTCATCGCAGCACTCAGGGGGCTGAGGCAGGAGGATCGCTGTGAGTTCAGGCGAGCCTGGCCTGGTACATAGTTCATGACCAGCCTGAACTGCATAGAGACAGCCTGTCTTGAAAATAAAAATGAATTTTCAGTTTTAGAAATTAGAACTGTAACGGGTGCTCACATGAAGTTCTGAGTGTGGAAGACAGCACTGTGTTGTCACTGGGGGGAGGCGGTGCGCGGGTGAAGGTATGGATTTAATGTCTCTCAAGCCATCTCTGGATCAGTCTCATGGTACACTTGGCTCTGATATGATCAGGCTTGGTAATGGCGGTCACTAGTATGTTGAGTATGCAACAGGAAGCAGTGTTTGTGAGTGGGTCTCCGTGCACTGGAGTGGCCACTGGTGAAGTCCCAGGCCTGAGAGCAGGATGCCCGCGGAAAGCGGGTGGAGGTCCCACGTTGAGCTCAGAGACCCCAGGGGGGCTGCCGAGTAGACACAACAGGTACAAGAGCTCGGAGGGCTGAGGGGCAGGCGAATCTGCTGGCAGGGTGGGAACGAGGCTGCGGATGGGGGCAGAGGGCTGAAGGAAATCAACATATGCAGTGGGGTGAGGGAGGACAGCCCAGGTCACAGCTCCTAACCTGCAGAGGGGGTGATGCCAGGACCCACGCACTGGGAGGGCCATGTGATGGATCTCTGAACAAACCTGATGAACCCATGCTGAGACCAAACCTCAAACCCTAAAGAGGTTTCCAGGCTTGAACCCAGAACTCATCAGCCTCTTTCTGAGGCCAGTACATTGCGTTTCAGGGAGAGGCAGGAAATCTTTCTCACCAAGATTACTCCCTTCCAGTATCCGCTTTAGGAAAAAGTAACCTCGGCTGCTCCATGGAGCAGAAAACTCACAGAACAAGAGCAGGGTTTTTCATGTTGGGAGATTCCACGGAGTCAAAGCAGAACAATGAAATCGCCCAACTGTGTAAGAAGAACATCTTAGTTGGAATGCTGATTTTTTTTTCCTTTTTGCAGTTCTGGGGATTGAACCCAAGGACTTCACATGGAACTACATCCTCCAACCCTTTTTAAATTTTTGTTCTGAGACAGAGTCTCCGTAGGTCCAAAATAGGCTAAGCTCAAGCCTGTAAATTCTCCTGCTTCTGCCTCCCAGGGTGTTTGAAGTCACAGTGTATGCCACCATATCCTGAATGCTGAATTTTTAAAACTTAAATCAAATTTTGTACGTTGATAGGGGATAA